TTTCCGAGGCATCGCTGAAAATGTGAAGTTCCAGGAGCGAGCGATCTGACTGCATAGGCAATACGCAACGTGGAAAACTAACGTTCTCAAGCCCCTGAAATTCACTTAAAATCCGTAACCAATGTCTGCTTTCCTCATTTGAAATCTCTTCGTTCCATGCTAGTCCCAAATTACCTAAACGTTGAAGTAACTGCTTCATTGGAAGTATAAACGGTGCTAACATTCCCAAGGGATCGTAAAGTGAGGCTACACTCGACAATATACCTCTCAAAAGCTGGTCATTAAGAGAACAACCTTGATAGAAAGCCGCACAATTAAAAACAATTCTCAATTTTCCAGGCTTTTTTGGGTTGATAACAGGATGATGGGGAATATACCAACAAACAACATCATGGTCAAATTCTTCTTTACTAGCTTCAGTGATGTAGCCCTTACTTAAATGTTTATTCATCACAACTTGATATTTCTCCAAAAGACTGTTATCTTTCATAAACCTCTTTCTTAAGCATTCTAGTCTGCGTTCAGCTAGTTTCAAATTATTCGGTAGCCTTGGCTTATCATACTTCCATGGTAGACCAACTTGGAAATGACCACCCTCCAATTTAAACGAATTGCTAACTATTTCTAGAGCCTTTTCATCCTCGACAGAATATCCATTACGAATCGTATCTGTATCTTCGAACTCATGATTATATAATCTTTCTAAATCTCGCAAAATATCATTAGCGGAACAATGACACCATTGAACTTGATGTAGAGACCTTGATACTCCCTTAGGACCTATAATCATCCAACCGAGATGAGTACGCACAGCAAACGGATGCTTCCTGTCCCCCAGACGTTGTTCCAAGACCCAATGTGCATCCGGAGCATCACATCCAATCAATATTCCTACAAAATTACTTCGCAACCTCGGGAGGGTTATGTCCCTTAGGTGTTTCCATCGCTTCAGTTGGAGTTCGTTTAAAGGTGCTGCATGATCGATCGGAAGTTTCTTGGTCGTGTAAACTTTGTTGATCTTTATAGAACCCCGTTCATCTAATGAAAATACCTCCAAATTTACCTCCAAACATTCACAATTGCTAGTCCCGTTCACAGTCGCCATCTTTATCGAAGTCTCTTTACCTTTAATACCCAACTGATTAATTAATTCTTCACATACAAGAGAAGTGTCCGAACCACTATCTAGAAGTGCATATGTTTCCAAACATTCTTTGAGACCGTACAGTCTGACTGGAACGATACCCAAACAAACCCTTGAGGAGTTTTAATCCTTAGCTAAATTCACCATATGGCCATCAATACTATCAATATGCAATATCGAATTATGCCTAACCTTGCAATTCTCAACGTGGCACTTGAAGCCTGAGTTGCATGACATAGCTATGTGACCTTTCCTCAAACATAAGTAACATAGACCACGTTTTCTTACCTCCTGCCTCCTTTCTTTTACATTCATTTTTGATAACCTTGGACAATCTGTCGCCTCATGATCACCTACGCAGATTTCACAATGTAGTACCTTGACTGAGTTATTTGGGTCTCGTCTAATTGCATGAAAGCGTGATCTCCTATCCACTTGGCCTTCAGAATTCCTTTTACCGAACCTTGAGTTACACTGTACTAATCTACCATAACGGGTTCGGGCAATTCTGGCCCTCTCTTCTACGAAGACCACAAATTCTTCAAAGCTCGGCTCCTTCCCATGCATCATAATCTTATCGGCGACTTCCACCCACTTATCCTGCAATTCTAGTGGTAGGCATGAAACTATTATCTCCAAATTAGCCGTAGAATTGACGTCAGACATGTATCCCATTTCCTTCAACGTTATACATACATTACGTAACTTAATTGCAAAGTCAGTTAATACGTCAGCTGATCCTCCGACAGATTTATGGTTTAATAATTCAGTGATTAGTTATCGTGCAACAAGATGCTCTTTACCAAATAAATCATATAAAATTCGTTTAGCCCTATCATAGCCTAAATGACAGGGCAAAGAAACGCAAGATTCGATTGCTGTTCTAGCCTTTCCTTTGCAATAATATAATAAATACGACAGCAATTGGCTCTTATCTGACAGTTTACTCTGTAAAAGGCTATTAAACTGACTGATGAAACGGTAATACTGACCCGGTTGCCCATCAAAATACATCATATCGATCTTAGGTAAAACCATGTTACTAACCATTGTATGTAACGTGTCCTTCAGTTCGCCAACCCAATCGACCTTTGAGATGTTACATACGTTCCCTGAGTGACTATTACATCCAGTATCACAATCCAAATAATTTTCCACTTTAGCATTTATCTCACATTTATCTACAGGTAATCGTTCTTCGTCCTCGATGGCCTTGCATTCTAGTTCGGCGATATCAACCTCTTCTTGAAGATCTAACATCTTAAGTTGCCGTTCCAATTCAAGTCTCTTTTCTAAATTCCTTTTCCTCAGTAATGCCTTATCTAACCTTAACCTAGAAGCACTTAATTGGGTAGAGGACATACTATTAATACTATCATCATCACATTTATCATCATTAACATCAGACATGCCACAAACAGCTTTAGAAATTTTAGTATCCATTTCGTCATTTTCCTTCAGCCTTTTGCTCCGCGTTTCCATCGTATTGATTGTTCCAAAGCAATCGATTACCAAAACAATTCTGAGTTAATCCACACGAAACCGATCAATAAGATCAGGAAATTGAATCCAAATATCCAGGAAATCCAAGGTATAAACACAGAACCAATAATTGAAGAACTTTATGTTACGTCCAAGTTTTGCTCGTTCTAGTTATTGAAGTACGGACTATCGATCTACTTGCAAATTACGAACCCAAATTAATAACAGAACCAAACTCCAATTTGGATACCAAATTTATTCGTAATTCACAAATAATCGACCAAATGTCGTTCTAACAACAATAATTATAATAATTACAAAACAAACCTTCAATTTTGTAGGTTCCCGGAGCAAAACTCCCAAATACCAAACCAAAGATAGAGAGAGCACCAAAATACCAAACCAAGGACAAACCAAAATGTCCGAAATAATGATATAAACAAACAAGTTCAAAGTTGAGTAAAACAATTACATCCAAAAACACAGTAAATTAATAATGTACAATAAAAGGTTTTAATTTGCCAAATGTCTTCAGTTCTCCCGTAACATACCATCAAAGCATAGAATTACAAATTTGATTCTACAGTATTATCATATTTTGGAAGGGCATGTTGGAGCCACACAGGTCATGGCAACAGTTCGAGAAAAATTTTGGGTGCTGAGGGGTGGTGTGACCATGAGGAGGGTGATTAAGGATTGTGTTCATTGTAAAAGGAGGAACGCCTGCCCCATCCAACAACTGATGGCACCACTACCTCTGAGCAGAATAGAAGATGGTGAGTATCCATTCTTATCAGTCGGTGTAGATTATTTTGGACCCATTATGGTCAAACACGATAGACGTACCGAGAAGAGATATGGTTGTGTATTCACATGTTTAAGATTGAGAGCTGTGCATCTGGAAGTTGCATATAGTTTTACCACAGACTCATTTATCATGGCATTGATGAGGTTTATCGGCAGGAGAGGCTATCCAAAAGAGATATACAGTGATAATGGATCAAATCTGGTGGGGGCTGAACGTGAGCTAAGAAAATGTCTTCAGGATTGGGTGCAGGAGCGTATACACTCTGATTTGCTAAGAAAAGGGATTGGCTGGCATTTCAGTACTCCGGCTGTTAGTCATTGGGGAGGAATTTGGGAGCGCATGATTCGCTCTGTACGTAGAGTATTGGGTGCTCTTGTAATGGAACAATCTTTAACAGATGAATGCCTTGAAACTTTCATGATAGAGGCTGAGCGTATAATTAACAATCGACCTTTGGTTCCGGTTACGGACGACTCTAATTATCTCGACGCAATAACACCAGCGAAACTATTACTATTGAGAGAGAACGTCGCCGAACTCACTAACGTCCTATCTAGTGACAGGTATTCTAAGAGATGGGAGCAAGCGAATTACTTGGCACAAGTATTTTGGAGACGTTGGTCTAAGGAATATGTTTCGTTGTTACAGCGTAGATAAAAGTGGACCCAACTAGAGAGGAACATACGAGAGGGTGACTTAGTAATGATATGTTCCGAGTTCTCCGAGAAAAACAAATGGCCCTTGGGTCTAGTGCAGAGAGTGTTACCAAGTAAGGATAGATTAGTGAGGCTGGTAGAATTAAGGACAAAAAAGGGGATCCTTGTGAGAGATATTAGAAAACTGTGTCTTCTTGAAGCCGTAGATGGTAGGTAGCTACTCGGGTCCCTAGGCGTACTGGTGTAAGTCCTAGGGATCACGAAATTGTTGGTATATTGTATGTATGTTGTTGATTGTTTGTGATGCATAGTTTTGGATTCTTGTTGCTTATTTGTTTGTCTGTGAAAAGAACCAAGGTTCTTTTGGTCGGGAGTGTTACGGGAGAACTGAAGACATTTGACAAATTAAAACCTTTTTATTGTACATTAATAATTTACTGTGTTTTTGAATGTAATTGGAAAAGACACCTGTAAAGTGGAGAAAAGATAGAAGAACGGACTATATGAGCACCTCTTAATCCATAAGAAAAGTCGAATTCCGGAATTCGCTGACTGCTGCGGTGACCCACATCCCTTTGAAAACTTTACATACTCTTAAGGACTAAGGACAGCACCTCACTATATTTCACCAATGTTTTATTTTACCTTATCTTTAAATATATAAAAGTTCCTGCTTGGTGGCATCGGTGACTTACTGCTCCTAAATAAGGACGCTCGTCAATGAAAGCTTCCTCTACCCAGTCCAGAACAATTGGACTAACCTGAGCAATCGCATCTAGATATCACGTTCAGTTTTGTGATATCTATATATTAAAATCAATGAATTAAACAATTGTGCTAATACACCACATGGACATAGTTTCACAGGTTTGTTTATATCAGTCAACCAATAGTAGTTGTTATGATGATAATATGAAACAAAGATGAATTTTGGGGGAAGTTCCATTAAAATTAGTAGCGAAGGTCTTAAATCGATTGATGCGTACGAAGATTATAGACGGTAGCCTCTCATAAAGTTTCATCTATAATCTACAGCAGAATTGTGGGTGATGATGATAATGGAAAAACGTTTACACCCAAGCAGTATGAAGCTTACAAGAACAAATACATACCATTGGTATAGAAAACTAATTAATTATATTGAACTAAGAGAAAACAAAACAGAATTTTTGTGTCTTGGACAAATCCAAATGGAGTGGATTGCATACTTGCCGGTCCACAAAGTGAATGTTTCTGCCAACACCGGTAAAGTTTCATAAAACTTTGTGACAGATTTAGATTAACCTGCTTGTTTTTACTTTATTACAATTGCATTCACTGTTTCTATTAGACGAAGCCTCACAGTTCTTTTTTTCACTTCATAAACTCCACTGCTAAGTAATTCTGGTGGTATGTATGCTGCTACATTGAGAAGATATAACAATGCTAACTATTAATTCACCAATTATTGTTCTGAATTATGATCGGCACTTTTGTAGAGACTCAGCTTTGCCACCTGGTTTCCTATTTTTTAGTAGGCGGAACGGCTGAATACCAAATCAGCCAACCTTCTCTTCGAAATCCTACACTTCAATTTTCAATGGTGAGGATAGAGGTCAATTGACAAATATTAGTCCTTAAAGTTTGTAACACTGTGTAGGTCCAATTTAATCTTCAATGTATCAACGTAAAGTGCTGATATTACGTGTTCTGGTAGATAATTCAAGTAATTCACTACTTGGTGAGAGAGATGGACTGCACACGTAAAGTATTTGATATCGGTTCTCTTGAACATTCATAGAATGTCTTCTCAGATGATTATTCTTAGATGGAAGGAGAAGATATGACAGTAATGCCAAGTTCTTCGTTCAGTATACGATGAGCCAATACTAGACGAACCCGTAATTTTTGGTACGACAATGAAAAAAAGTCAAAACGTTTCAGTTTTCCTTCACATAATACGTCAACAAGAACTTTCACCATTTCGGTCATTCGTCGTTGAACTCATTTTAGCATATCCGCCTCATTCTTTAACCTCATATTCCAAGGGCAGCCTTATGAAAATTGGGTATAATACCCTAAACATTTTTTCCAAGTAATGGAATGACTTATGAATGGCCCTTAAGATCCTGAGGCTTTTGAAGACGATAGTCTTTCAGTTACTCTTCGTTCTATATTCGTGGCTTATTTTGACTCCCAAATGTTTATAGTCCACTACTTTAGGTAACACTGCTCCTCATATTGTGTAGTGAGATAAATCGTCACAATTATTTATTTGCATTACTAGACTTGTTAAAATTTACTTCTAGTGACCACATGTTCATCCATGCAACCAATGAATTTAAATAATCTCGTAATATTCTATCTGAAAAACTGTTTATAGGTCTACAAATCTCTACGTCATTGGCAAAGAACAGAACAGATGAATTTGCTATAATTGGTAAGATATTTACATAAAGTAGGAAAAGAAGAGGGTCGAGGATTGCACTTTGGACAGCTCTACTTTCCACAGATTCCCACTTTGAGAGAGCTCCACTTATCTTTGCCCACTGTCTCCTATCACTAAGAAAGTTATTTATTCAGTTTATGATTTTGTAAGGAATCCTAAATCTTAGTTTTAATTTAAGACCCGGATGAGAGACCTTGTTAAAGGTTTACTTGGATCCATGGGAATTACAGCTACCCTTTGCTGCAGCTCAGTCTTCTCTTTTAATAAGCAGATTTGTCAACTATGACAGGCCTCTCCTAAAACCGTGTTGTTCCCTGAATAGAAGATCATGTCCCTCCACATAGTTTAAAATGATCATCCGGACAATATTTTCCATTGGTTTGACAAATAGACTGGTTAGACTAACGGATTGATAGTTACTGACTAAGTTTCTGCTTCACGCCTTATACGCTGAACTGATTACTTCATCTTTCCAGTCTCTTGGCAGTTTAGAATGCCTCAAAGACGTATCAAACAATATTGCCAGAGGTACGACAATCACAGTCTCCAGAGCTTTCATAATCCTAGGATAAATATCATCAGGAATTATCTGATTTGAGATATGAAGTAATCGTAAGACGGTTCCTTTCTCAGTAAGCAGAGGATTCGTTGACAGGCCTCCATTGTTATAATTAACTGTTGATCTTTTGTCTTCGTCTGTAAAAAACACTTCACTAAAGCATTCTGATAAAGGTTTAGTATTTTCAACATTATTTCTCACCAAAATGAACGGACTTTCTAGTGTTGGAAGTGGTAGGAACTTATCAGTTCTCCGAGCTAATCTCTCTATACACGAGAACAAACGTTTTGGACCATTTTCACAATCCCTAACCAATTTTTTTTCATGTGACAAAATAGCTTTACTTATCAACTCTTTGCACACTTTCTTAGTCTTACAATATGTGGATTTGTAATGTTCAGAGCATGTAGAGATATATGTACTTCAATGCTTTGCCCTACGTCTAAGAAGTTTCCTGGTCTCTTTATTTATCCATGGTGGAAAGTTATGTGGTCTACGTGATACTAAGCACGGTATAAAAGAAAGCGGAACCAAGTAAGCCTTTGAATAAAGACCATGCTTCTTCAATTGATTAGCTAGCATTTATCGACCAGTCTGTCGTTGTAGCACATTCTAGTACAGCTATTATTGTTTGCTCCCCACACATTTGGGTGAGGTCTGATTCGTTCATCTTTTGTTACAAGCCCCAAATATGAATAATAAAACAACATGATTATTATTAGCCAATAATGATGGAATATTAAGGTGGGTAAGATCCTCAGTCGCATAAGTGACTACCAAGTCTAAGAAAGAAGATTCTTGGTTTAGGCCAATATGTGTGGATTTGGATACGTGCTATACCAAAGCATGCTCCATTACCGTCATCAGGAGCCTACTACTGAAAGAGTTTTCAGATCTTACAGTGGAAATCTCTGTCCATTTAGTATCGGGTGCACTAAAATATAATATCAGGCATCCATTATTCCACTCTATAGCTGAATGTGCTCTGAGATAAAGTCATAAACTAAGCAAATTGAGCTACGGTAGATTACACCAAATATAAATATACAACCTTCAAGAGTTAGTTCACAGCTAGCAACTTCAGAAGTCCCACTATCATGTAATTCACAAAAGAACAAACAAATATTTATATGATTAGCTTTGTATATAAGAACCCCACCCTTTTCCTGTACCTATTTCTGTCACTTCTTAGGTAGTTGTTTCCCGAAAATTCTAAAGTGACGTCAAAGTAATGGACTAACCAAGTTTCAGTTACAGCTACAATGAGTGTCTTTAATTCGCCCACTAATACTTCTAGTTCATGGAATTGATTTCTTGGACCATGAAGATTTTCATATAAAACTCCTAAAACTAACGATCTATTCACACAAGCTTTAAAAGAATTTGCTTACAAGATCTGACTACTCAAAAACACATTAAGCTAAGATCTTTTCGCAATTTTGTCTACACGTTTCTAGTTTAGAGAGTGTCGCCTTCGTTTTTACTCTGACTCCTAGAGACATGTCAGGTCTTACTTGAACTTAGATGTTATCTTGACTTTGAGTACTAGTGATCATAAGATTTCGTTGTTTCCCCAACCCTGTGATTACCTTGAGGAGTCTACATGGTCAGGGTCCAACATCTTTGTCGGTCCTCTTGCCAATTATCAGTTTTTTATTATCTGCGGTGTTATCCGGTAAGATGCTATGAATAAATGCTCAGACATTTTCCAAATCATACGCGTGTCTAGTTTTTATATCAGGGTCGTTTGCTTCTCAAAAATTACTTACAATAATATTTAATGAGATTAGGCTTTTCTCAGTCACGCTAGGATTAAGTCCAGTCTTACTTTGGGACTTCTGCAGTGTTTTCTGTGGCACAGAATGAGTCTACCAAAGACTTGTCATTCAAACGGGATTTGTTCGTAACTATTTTCTTTCTCTTCTACGTTTCCGCACTATCTTTCACTCCACACCACTCAAGACAGACACATCAAGACTACTTGGGACGGTGACAGTTTTAACTGAATCCTTTGTTACTACTGTAGAATGGTGACTACCAATATCCAGTGGTATTTCATCCTTTGTTTGTTTCTATAGAGACTTGGCTTTTTCATGTTTTTCAACCGGGCTTTTAGCTCGTCCAGTAACTGCACATAATGCATTGAAAATGTTTTTGTTATCAGTACTAATATTATCGGTGCAGCCACCAGAAGCTTTTTTGTTGGTCTGCACCAGAAGACCCGTCACTTCCTGGATCAGTGATGTCTTACTCAAACAGCAAAACATTCAGAGTGAATGGTAGTTAGGTTTCGAGGGTTTTGTATATGAAACAACTTACTACACTAATCACATTTCATTCCTTCATTCACAGGGACGAAACAACTCAGCTTTCCTCAGTTATAAGTATAGTCAACCATTGTAAACAGATTTACGGGAAAAATTGACAAAAATACGTTAGCTAATCACTAGCATGAGAATCATCTAAGAGAGAGTACCACAAAACGGATTTGAAAAAACTTTCAAACCCTAACCGCAATTATTCAAGCTAAAGTCAACCAAGTATGCTTTGGGTGCAATAAATACACAACAGTAAAGTTAGTTTGCAACAAGTGCGAAATCACTGCTCTTTTTAAAACGCGCGTCACTGGGTTAATTATTTTCCTCTACATTTGTTTTGTGAACTACGGGCGTATCATGAATGCATACAGTTTGACTCAGTTTATGTCGTGAACTTTGTATCCATTCTTCTTCTCCCTTTTTTGCTAGGCTTATACAACATAAGACAGATTTCGAGACAATACCTACACAACGTCCTATACAGTTACCATGTAAACATTGCAGATGTTTGAGTTTTCATGTGATGCCGAAATTTGGGAGCCAAATTGCACGATGTCATTGTAAACATTATGCGACCGATCACAGTGTGGTCAGTTTTACATACTTTTATTAGTTGTAAATAGTAAGCTAGCAATAAATAGTTCTAAACTTCTTTCCAGAGAATCTGCAGACTATTAGAGCATTCCTCGTTGTTTGAGAGCACAAAACATAGAAAAATGGCTAAAGAGTACAAATGTTTCTGTGTTTGATATTATGTCTGTAAAAGGAGCGATCTCATCTCCTAAGCAAAAATAACTAATTGATACACTGTTTCTATATAAGCAGGGTAGAGTGTCGTACCATCTACAGGATAAATTATTGTAAATACTGGGCAATTCTTTTAAGAGCTCAATGATTTGCGGAATATTTATTTTTAAAATAATATAAGCACCCCGTGTGTCGTATTCGTGTGCAAACAGATAGTACAAACGTTTTAAGTAAAGGTTATACAGGGTTAATAAATTAGAGTTTTCGTCTAAATTTGATCGAATAGTTTCACAGTATTTGAGCGCCGAGTTAATGTGAGACATTACAGAGGAAGAATTTATTTGTAAAATCTCAGCGAATGAATTTTGAAGTAAATCCAACGTTTCGCCTGGCAATCTGGTCCAAGCTTTTTCAAGGAAATCTATCTCGAATGCTCTCAAATTTGGTGCTCTAGTAAACAAAATACTGGACATTTAATAGGTCTAACTATTGCAGAATCCAGTAATTCCAAACAGCTCTCAAGAAAACGATGGTGAGTATGGTATTTCGTTATACCCATGCAGTTATCATTACCATTTGCAGTTCACAAGTTCTACATCTCTAACTTCAGTCATCCATACACAAAAATACTGTACGCTGAAATGTAACAATCCCTAATGTAAAACTAACTTCGATATAAGTGATATCATTTTGTTGAGTGCTGTCATTACCTAAAGAGCATCTCCTTGTTGTATGTTGAGGTAGTAATCGATATTATACAAGACTCTTGAATACTCTTATACTTTCACTAATCACTTTACATTCAAACACTTTAATTTAATACCAGTCTGATGCAAGATAAAGAAGAACCAAAAATGCTCAACGATCTTAAGAACTCAATCTGTTTCTAGTACAGTCCCAAGAAACGCATCCAGATCTGTAAGATATAAGTATCGTTGAAGTTTTAAATATGTTTTGCACGTGAATTCTAACATGCACAAAAATAGCGGACGACATTTGGAAAATTTCTTTAAGCATTGGATAGGTAAGTACATGAATATATATATCCTAAATTCCGTAAAATGAGGTTTGTATGACCTTAGTTTGCATATTTTTGGACTGATAAGCAAAAGTACATTTAGATCTAATATTTCAAATCATTCCCAATAGTTTAATTAACCGTGTAAAATATCAACAAACGTTTGCAAAGTTTATTTTAAAATAACTTTTTATTATTTCCCTACGTCTTACTTTTTACAACCAGATGGAAACTGCTGAAGAACGTCATAGTAGAGGTAAACCAATAGGTCAGACTTCACCATATCAAGCTATGGGTGGACTAACTGGATTTAGTTCACTTGCACCTGGTATAACACGTATGGATACAAGCGGTGCAGGCAAATTATTATCAGAGGAAGAAATGAATAAGTCAATTACATCTGTAGATAATCCATTTCTCCGAAGTCATGCACAAGGAGTTTTTAATTATAAGTTGGGAGTTAACGATATGAACGGTAATTTAATTGTTGTTTTTTTCTCAAGATAAAGTCTATTTTATTCACTCACATCAAACCAATTGGATTATTCGACCAAATTGACTATGAAATCCAATACCGTTTTGATCACCAATGTTCAGGTTCTTGTTATAACCCCTAACCAAGCCACCTTTTAAAAATCAATATATCAAATGAGCTATATTTGGAGGATGGCTGTACTCTAAACGATGACATGTAGTAGACAAACAAGAGGATATAAATCATATATATATAGTTATTTTAGAGTTAAAACCAATTATTTTTGAACAAACAAGTATAATGACTTGTGACTATCATTGATTTTAAATTATTGAATGAGAATCAAATACAATGTTCGATAGAAATTACGGCCTGCAAAATCTCCATTTTGAACTGTTGATTTAAAGAACCTTAATGATTATCAGGAATTCTGACCTTAGAACACAGTTATCTTTTAAGTTTTGTGTTTGTAAGTGAAATATGTATTACAGAAAAGTACAATAGAATAAACGTTGAAAGCTAGGCAATGAATAATGAAAAACGATATTAGTATTTCGGAGTATGCACTGACTAATCATTGAATAATAATCAACAGTATATTATTTACTCTTCAATCCCAATAAAAAATTCACCCATGAAGTTGTAATGTGTTATCTAGTCTAATTGGTGTAACACTGTAATGCACTTTTCTTAGGGCTCAGGTAGGTGAAGGCAATCGATAGGATGTTATAGATATAGCTTTTGTCCTAATTAGTATACCAGAATAGGTTTTGTGGAGATTTTTAGAAATTTCACAGATTGAAATCATGAGTCAATTGAAGCTAGACCACCATGGAAAACCTGGAAGCACTAGACGGCCATCTCGTCCTAGTATGAGACTCCTCAGCAGTGCGCATCCACGATTCCGCACCCCGCTAGATTCGAACCCGGGACCTGTCAGTCTCGCGCCGGGAGCTTAACAAACTAGACCACTGAGCCGGCCGGCATCCAACGGTGTTGATGTCTAACGTCAACCAATCTACGAAGTTGCGCCACCGTACACCATTGTCTTCAGTGAGCTGATGTCTCACAACAGACCTGGTTGAACTCCACTGGTAACGGCTTCTCACTAGAACTCCAGGAGCATCTTTTGTAGTCAGTCACTAGTGAGCAGATGATTATTATCAGAATGGGTTTTGTGGAGATTTTTAGAAATTTCACAGTGCTTCCAGGTTTTCCATGGTGGTCTAGCTTCAATTGACTCATGATTTCAACCTGTGATTGGTATACATTAACAATAATCTTGATGGAACTGATGCCTTCCATGAAATTTGAACTACTACCAATCATTGCCACAATCATGGGTATGCTGATAGTTTGCTATTCAGTCTGTATTCCTTGTTGATGAGTTTTAACCAACAAAATATTTTTGAGTCCAAGATTTCTTCTCGGTAGCTTATAACTATCACTTATTAGAGTACAGTAAACATGGAACATGTATGTTGGTCACCAACTGTATTCTGTTATCGCTTAGTTGAGAAAACTTATTAAATGGTATTTTGCAATGATACTCGCAATAAAAGGTTGATGATAATTATTTTAAAGGTTTTATCATTTTAAGTACTAGTAATATATTCATTTTGCATTATTAAATTATAGGCGCTGAACGTGAACGTCATGAAGTTGAGTCACAGATGCGTCGTCCAGGAGAATCAGAATTAGATTATTATGAACGTCGTTATCAAGAAAGAGTTAGTCTATCTGCTAGTTATGTAGAAATACGAGTTTAAATACACATTTTTGCCTATAATAATATCACATGCCGGGAAAATAATCATTTCGATTGATAATTTTTTTCCAGTTGACTTACAAATATTTTTCTCGGAACGACCGAATAACATGTTGAAGCTAGCTGTAGGCTACTTGACATGAGGTTTTAAATCTTTATTGACATATTTTACGAATACCTGACCACTGCCTATCTCAACGAGCGACGCTTAGTTAGCGCAAAATTAGACTAAGGAAAATTAGAGAAGGTCAAACCAAAGCGTCGCATGAGTTCATGAAGTCGTTGACTGTCAGCCTGAGTCAATTTTGACAGGTACAGACTTCTTGGTTAGTGTCCAGATGATAAACACGATCAGTAGTTGGAGATTTCGGGTGATGAGTAAAAATCGGTCAGTAACCTAAATACATTCACTCTCTATCACCCTCTCAATCTTGAACGCCAGTATCCCTTCATACATAACTTTTCACTCTGTCTTCCTAAACCATAGTGTTTCTTTTTATCATTGGTACTACATCATCCCGACATCTTTTGATACTCTCATTTCGTTTTGCTAATCAGGTGTGACAACTTGTGCTTGCACATTTGTACCAGGCTCAATAGTGATTATATATGTCTGTTGTATAAGTATTTCACAACTTCTTTAACTATCACTCTAATTGTTAACAAGTCATTATGGATCATAGATGATTAAATGAACTTTCAATCCGAGTTGCAAAGTAAATACCTGTGCAAATCATCAGCTTATTCTGTAGTGCGATTCTATAGTCCAATCAATCTAAAGCCTTAGCATAAATGTACGTTTATAGGAGCTCCCTTAGAGGTTAATTCCTCCCCATTTGACTCCAACAGATGAAATCTCGTCAACTGAGTATTTAGGCAGGCCAATTTTTCAAGTAGTGCTATGAGTTTATTCAAAAGCTATAACACCAGTTATTGGAAGAGTATATTGTTAATAAATAAAAGAATCCGCGAGCACCCAAGAGGAAAAGCACACTGGGAAGTGAGTGCGTAAGCTACAAGTCGAAATATCTATATGTATTTTATGAAGTTAATCAATTGCGGGGAATTTATTGATTGTCTGTGTTTACAACCAATAGAAGGATAGATAGAGATTGCGGTGCAGACATTCGTTCACTCAGACTCACAGGTACATTTACATAGTGGGTTAATTGTCAAAATTACAGCGGATGAGTAGTAAAAAATGTAATGGGCTTATTATGCTTCCATTCCTGATTCTCACGATGAGATAAAGGCTAAAAAATAAGACCGAAATGATGTAGAAGCAATGATAAAAGAAAAACTATACACCACGCGTCAAGGCAAACAGCAGTAGGAGAAATGTGATGTATATTCTAACCACCCCAATCGATGAAGGTTTACTACCTCACCAAAGGATTTGTTATTTTCACCTTATATCTTACGCTTAGCCTCGACAATCCCCATTCGTTCGTTACACAGTAGGTGAGAAATGCATCGACGATATTTATGATCATCCTGCAATATACGCAAGTCCCCTACCTTTATAGGTGATTTACACAACCAGAGTTATAGGTGGTGGACTGTCGTGCCGAATACTCCCCCTTTGATTAATGACAACTCTCCTTCAGCACAAGTGACATAAGTAGACAAAGGCCAAGAGAGCTTTCTGAATTCGTGCTAAGATTTCGTCAGACACCAACGTTCCAACACTGATGAGACTTCCAATGTAAGTGAAGTGGTTGATACACTCGGTAGACTACAATTTTGCTAAGTAGTTGCTTAACAGATCAAAGCTGTTTTATGACCCATTTATACAAGCAAAAATGGTCAAGTTAGGTTCTGAATATCAACGGCGGATTGGAATGTCAGTCTGGAACTAAAGTACATTCAGCTAACCGGTACTAAACAAACCGAAACATGTGTCCTGAATCCTACTGTGTAAAAAGTATCATAGACTTTTAATTTCAGGTAAAATCAATTCATTCTCTCAAAGTGCCCACATGCTATTATTTACTTACTACTTTAGTTGAACACATAAATATTGCTACAAAGGGGGTACCGAATACATATATGCCACACAAATCACTTGATTTGAGTGTGGACTGTGATACTGCCTGAGTGCCCAGACCGAAGCAGGTGGTTTTCTTAGGCTGCCACACTCGGAACCTTCGACCTAATGGTCTTGTAGTGTCGGTTATTATGTTAAGCCCATATATCTTATTCTAGATTTCGGATAGGCCAGTCTATTCATCCTTCTTGAGTCACATTTTGACCTTGTTGATTATTCGCTTATCAACATTGACTGTTTTCATATGACTGTATGTGTGTAAACCTCTTATCCTATGCATCAAATGTCTGTAGCCTATTTTTGTGTGACTATAAGTATTGGTTAACGCTTGACTAAATGAAGTTGGCTCACATGCCTTCTTCACTGCGCATCATTTCGCTTCCCTTCTCCGATATTTTGTCTGGATAAAAGATTGTATAAAATATACGTATTCGAAATTGATTCACGTATTTGACTTATTTAATTCCGTTATTGACTAACGCGATTTAAGTCGATGATTATATACGAGGATTGACGGTATGTGTATTTCAATAACAATCATTCATACTATCTCACTGGTGTCAGGTCCCAGGCCATTAAAGTCTGATCCACAAGGCAGTGGAGCAACGTAAGGAGATGCAGTCTCATGGTAGCCGGTGACCAGTAATTGGTTCATACGCCATTTCTTACCTCAGGATCCTGGAGCCTATATACACAATTAGTTTTCTAACTCCAATAAGTGAACCCTCCGTGCCCACCAACCCGGTTAAAGCGCCGGAATTCGCTTTTCGTCCTCTCAGTTTCGTAAACAACAGTAATGCCGCGAGAGGGCATTGAGTAGGACTTCCCTGGCAGTGGTTGTATACACGTGGCCATGTGGACCCTCCCCACCCTTGGACGTAACAGGGCGATTGGGGGCCCATATGCCATACATATAAATAAAAAAATCAGCCCTGAATATGAACGAAGAGAAAACTCACATTGTTACAAATTTTAATAAATATCAGTTAAAATGTTTGTTTGAGATGTTGATTATCAAATTACTGTTCAGCGTTTACTTACTTGTTTGATGGGAAAAATCATTGCGATTAGTTTTTTTTCTGCAATTGACAATCAAATAAAATGAATCAGTAAAAATGACAATTACATTAGGAAATTACTAATTTACTTAGAGATTAGATTGTTCAACACTAACTATTTGTGAATAATATATTCCTTCAGTTTTTGAGATGATGGAGAAGATTTATAGCTCGGCTAGATGATTTCGATAGAGTTTTGTTCTCCGAACTAGATGGTTTGATCGTGGACAGGTAGACTTCTACCTGAAGTTTGTGCTGATGATATCGTTCGGAAGAACAATGAAAGCTCCACGATTAAACCATTCAGCTCCGAGAATAAATCTCCATCGAAAAAAATTTCTTCAGCTTGTTTATTATTAATTAATATAACAACAGGGATTACAATTGTCATATTAATTCCATCGTTCTAATTCAATGAATTTCTTTTCCAGGAAAAAGCTAAATATATCAGAAAACCTGAACAGATACGTAAATTTTAGTTGAAATGTTCTAATATCAATAATGATTACTGTATCGTACTTTACCTTATAAATAGAATGAACAATTTGTGTAAGTCATCATCATTATCATTATACTACCTACCTATTCAATTGCTAGATGAGTTCATCATACAGATTACTTGAATATTTATATTTCATTATATATTTTCTTTTGAAAAAAAGAGAGATAAGACGGAGATTTAAATGCATTACAAATGCAAGAATAAAACTAGAACAACTACAGTAATCGGGACAGGATAATATAAATTCATTTTATTTTATACATTTTATCCAGCTCTTTACAACCCTATTTGAATCATACAATCATTAATCATTTACATGTTTTCGATATTTATCTTCAAATGAACTCATATTTGCTTATTCGTATATACATATATACAGAGATGGATAGTGGTTAATAGCGAAATCCTAAAGACGAGCATTTCGTCCTATTTGTGTCTCATCAGATGGATATACATCTGTAGCTAAATGAATAATTCAATGACATTCGAATCGAATGGTACTAGATTCGAGTCCTTGAGTAAATATCAACTCTAGGGTGCAGGTAAATCCAACTAATGAGTTTAAAACAGGATGAAACGCACGTCCCTAAGATTTCACTCTTATCCACCATTCATCTGTGCTTGATAATCATTATTGTTCTATTATTTCAATCATCAATATCTATTACGTCATACAAATATGGTTGCATGCAGTTGAAAATAAATTAATTTTACCCTATTTCGCTTGTTTTCTTTTTGTTTTGCCTTTGTTCAAATCTATGAGGGAAGTTGGGTGTATGAGACAAAAAAGTGCAATAGTCTTTTTAAAGTGATTTCTTTTCTTTTTGATAATTTTATATTTATTAATTTTTATTTATCATTGTTCTTATTCATCTATTTATTCTGTATGTTTATTGTGAATACATATTTTAAATATAGTTGCAGAATCACTAAATCACTTTTGATTTAAATCTCATCATCCCGGGTGGTCTGGTGTGTGACGAAATCTCAGCACGGATACAGAAGGCTCGATTAACTTTTGACAGCTTGCGTCATTTATGGCGTAGGCGAGATATTCGTCAACCAACCAAAAGATGGGTTTACTGAGCAGTAGTTCGTTTCGTCTTACTTCATTGCTGTGAAACATGGCCGGTAAGAGTAGAGGATATTTGCAGGTTACTAGTATTCGATCATAGGTGTCTTCGAAACATTGCTCGTATATCCTGGGACCATCGATTAAGTAATGCAGTTGTTAAGAAACGGGTACTAGATAAGGGTGGCAAATCAATTGATGAAGTAATGAAACTTCATCAGTTGAGATGGCTGGGACACGTGTTACGTATGCCCAACCACCGACTACCCCGACGTGCAATGTTTTATGGTATAGGAGTAGGTTGGAAGAAAGCTAGGGGCGGACAGACCAAAACATGGCACAAATCCATGAAGTTACTGACAAGTGGACTGAGTTATGTTGGTAGGTGTAGACTACCTGGTTGGGGACCGCAAGATGATAGCAACCGATGGTTAGAGACCCTGAATGACATGGCTCAAAATTGTTTGCAATAGCGTAGGTGCATACACTCTTTGTGTTCTCTCAAATTCCAATCTTCTGAATTCCTCATATCCCTTTCTTTTTTCTCTTTCCAAATTTATTTGACTGGATTATACTACTTAAATAACATCTTCAAACCCTAATTTTTCTGATTACAGCTTATAATTTTACTACATCTAGCACTATGGAATTTGAAACGACAATTGCATCTTTGTACTAATGTATAATGGCAACTCGGATTGATGTACATACATACGAAATTCTGCATTGTTACTGACTGTCTTTTGATTTAAATTGTATACCGATACATTTCTTGTAAATGAGAAACAAACAAAAAAATAAAAGTGAATGTGAAAGCATTCATGAGCAATGTGTAAAATAAAAAAGTTACCACCAAAAAAGAAAGAAACAGGAATCAGTCGTTGAAGTTGTTAGTTTATTGAAATAAGTATATAAATAATCAATTAATCAATCATCAGGTGGACATGCTCTTGCCATAGATCGGACGGGTGGCCCATTCCATTGATGAGAATGTTGTGATAAATCATTTGTTCCATGAGTATGATAACGTTCATCATGTGAATCCCAACAACCATCAAGATTTCTTTGTCTTCTTTCTTTATCTCGACGTTTTCGTCGACCACCTGCTGTAGCTTGTAATGCTAATGCTTTAGCTTCAACTTCTTGTTTTACTCTTGCTAATTGTTCTTCACGTTGTTTTGCTTGACGGGCTGATCGACTTTGATAGACTGAATAAAGAATAAATACATATGAAAATGAATGAAAGTACTATCTACGAATATATATATATATATATATAAGGATAAATATATCGATTTGAAAATACCCAGAAAAAATTAAGAATAATTTTGCTTACCTTGTGTTCCATCACTTCCTTCCACTTGATGAATACCTAAGTCTTTTAATGGTGGCGAAACTACAGAAGCTACAGCTGCGGCAGCAATTGTTGGAGGTGGTATTCTCGATGTTGGTTGATGATGAGTCTCTGCTGAATGATGCTGATGATGACTAGTATTATTATGACTTGGGAATAGAGCAGCACTGATAGTGGCTGCAACCCCATTCGCTATGCCCAATCCTAAACCCATAGTTAGACCAGGTGCTTCATGAGTAGTATTGCCATTTATATCACGAATTATTGAACCATTTCGTTTATTTTCACCTTGAAATAATGATGGATGTAACGATTGAACTTTAGGTGTAAGTCCAGCGGCGACAGCAGCAATTGCTGCTGCACTTGCAGCACCCACATGTAATCGACCAGTACGAGGATAATTTGAACGTGAACCTTCATTTTCATCATCTGAAAAATGTCCTGTGTTAAGGCCATCAGGACTATTATTATGATCAATCTTAAGTTTTCTTCCACCGAAATGTGTATTATGAAATTCACTACCAACGCTACCAGCATGATGTACACCAGTAAGTCCAAGTTCATTTTCTACTTGTCCACCATTTTCTGTTAACCAACCAGTTGCTCTTGCTCCGGTTAATTCACTAATTTCTTGACTAGTAAATCCTGCACTTAATGCAGACTAAAGTGAAAAAAAATAGGGGAAATATTTTAATTTTGATTAATTCTTTGTTAATGTTTAACAACAGGTAATTGTATACTAAATACATTAACTAGTCATTAGGTAAACGTAATTATTTTAACCTCTTCTAGTTCCTGGTGTATATTAAATCCAATCAATTAATTTCCCATATTGATTGTTTCCATTCCCAAATTTAGATTATTTTATAAAACATAAACATTAGATCAAATGATTGTATATCGACATGAACTGTATTGTTATTTTTATCAATATTACTATTATCGCGGTATCTGTTACTTATGCTAACAGATATGAGTAGTAAGTAGCATCAATCTGAAGTGAATATGCTTGACAGAAGAAGATTGAAATAAACAGAACAGGAAGGAAATCGGATAGAAATTAAAATAACAACAGAATCAAATGAATAGTTGAGTCTGTGAAGGACAACTCAAAGAAGTTGTGTAAATAATGTATTTGGTGTATGATTTACATATATTACCGAGTCACTGTGATTTTGCATTAAACAATGAACTATTGACCATAAGTCTTTAAATTAAAATTTATTCTGAGACTTATAATCTCTCAGGAATTTGAATCCAAGTTGTTACGTACTTCATGTTGAAATCTTATCAGTGAACTATTCCAATTGAGATAAAAAAAATCATGGTTATACTTCCTAGAGTGTTTCTAGGTTGAAAAGTTTAAAAGTTTACAACAAACAAATTCCATGTTCCGTTTCTAACTTAACATGTCATAAACCACAGACCAACATCATGCACTAAGAACCAGACAAACATGAGTTTGACCACAACTCAGTGATTAATCCTTAAAGCTATATTTTTGAAATGCTATCAATAAATATAATCTACCGAAATTGCACTGAAATCACGAATCAATCTATGTTAAATAACCTTTGGGAATCTGGAGGCATTAAACGGCCGTTTGGTCCTTGTATAAAACTCCTTAGTATATAGGAATTGAACCCAGGATTTCCTGTCTCAAATGCTTAACCTCTAGACCACTGGGCTTGCATCCCATGGTGTACAAGTTTAACTTCAACTGAAATTGCCTAGGAAACCTAAGTTTTAACAATAAGAATATAAAACTTAAAAATGTAAAAGTTCAGTAATTTGAAGTATTCTTATTAGTAAAAAATAGGGCTTCTTCAAAATCAAATCCCTATTTCTTACTTTGGTAACTACACTCAGCCCTGGATGACCAGGTGTCATAGGCACAAGTGGACGATCTGAGTCAACTTCTTTCGTTTCAGGCACTGGAGCAGAAAATGAGCCAAGAAGACGTTCAGCTTTACTAACTATTAAAGGAGGATGTGTTGCTGCCCAATAACCTTCTAAGAAATGACTTAATGCTTCTGTTGCAGCGGATAAAGTATTTTGATCTATTACGTAATCGAATGATTCCTAAAAAAAGCAAAAGGCAAAGCACATTTATTGACTGATCACATGTTTAGTAGTAATGATATATATATAATTCCACTTAGTAATTAGAAATCAAAACAGAGTTTAGGACTGACATCAAAACCTGTCGGTTTCCCTTAAATGTTTTTTTCAATTATCAAGTATCTTTCCCACACAGCAATCGCTGCGTTAGCATCACTTAGAAAGTTGTTAAAAGTCTATAACAATAAAGTGAGTAGTAATTCATTTTGTCTTTAAATAATTCATTCTGTTTATGCCTGTAACTACAGACATTTAAAGTGTAATTGAAAAAAATCACTTCACTAAAGAGCGATGGTGTATGGACTGGTTATGTCTGAATTTCTTCAATTTATACAAAAAAAACTTAACAACAATATAATCGTATTGATCAGTGTTTATGGATTGATTGTGAAGTGTTTCTCAGGAGAAGTTATCCTTGTAAACTCGAACTTCGAAAAGGTTGGCAATATGTTAGTCACAATCAATGCAGAGCCTGGTACAAATAAGCTTTAGCAAAAGTTGTTATGTTACACATTGGCATAATAAGATGAAATTCAAAAAACAAATACAAGAAAAGTCTAAATAATGTAGTGTCAATGATAATGTGAAATAATAAACATCATGAATACATTTCAAAGCGATACAATGAAAAGATATACATGAAGGGATAGGGGAGCTCAAGATCTAGAACAAGGTAAAAAGTAAATGTATCAGGTTCATTATAAATTATTCTTATTCATGTCACCTGAAATCTTCAACCACTAGTCACAGTTACACCGTTGACACAACCATTTAGTTTGCTTTCATTAAAATTGTTCAGCCCAGTGGTTATCGATTTCATAGACTGATTCCACTGGCTATTTTTAGCCTTTTTCCAATTTATAAACCAATTATTATTGCATATCGAGGTATATGAAGTTTAATCACATGTAATACGTGTTCTAACTAATAAGTATTCACTATTTCATAATTTTTCATGATTGTTGATGTTGAACTATGTTGAACTATGAAAGATGTTTTTGACTACATTCTGTTTTTCATCATAGACTGATATTATTTAGAAGAAATATTATTTTATCTTAGGAAGCTGGATACCGGTTTCTTAATCCATTGATCTCACTTAGTAAAGTAATTTCTCAGTCAGTCAGTCAGTAACAACGTAGAACTTCGTACGTATGTAAATCAGTGCGAGTTGCCATACCACATTAACACAGAGATGCAATTGTCGATTCATATCCTATAATGGTAGAGTATAATCAGTAATCGGAAACATTGGAGTTTGAAGATGTTATTCAAGGAGTATAATCCAGTGAAAGAAATTTGGAAAGAGAAAAAAAGGGATACGAAGAATTCAGAAGATTAGAATTTGAGAGAATACAAAGAGTGGATGCATCTGCTCCATTGCAAACGATTTTGAGCCATTTCATTCAAAGTCCCTAACCATCGGTTGCTAATCTCTAAATTATGAGCGATCAAATTCATGAACTTTGCTCATGACAGCTTAAATGTTATCATTTAATTAGTGATTGGAGATGCTTTGCTTTATTATTCCAATACAAATGTAACTATTCATTAATACTGTCAGTCAGTATCTCACATGTTTATTGAATTAACTAACCTCATACAGTATAATTTCGAATTAAAAAAAACATAGAACATTTCATATTAAAACCGTCACCTATGATCAGTGATTTATAGTTCAGTTTAGTTTGAAGATAATTTTCACCACACATAGATGACATTGACGGAATTAAAAACATAAACATTCGTTTTTGAGTAATGTGCCTTATATGTTATAAATGAATGAAACAAAAGTATAACTGACGCTTTGGCTGTAGATGTTTACGTAAACAGATGAATGAATGAATGGGTATAATTCAGTTATCAAGTATAGGTCTATGTACTTAGACTTGACAGATACTATTTATGTTAAAAACAATAATACAATGTAACCCTTAAAGTATAGACAGCTGGGATGCAGCTGGACGATCTAGACTTCGTAGATGATCTGGCTGTTCTATTGCAAACGTAACAACAAATGCGGGAGAAAACGACCAGTGTAGCAACAGCCTCAGCTGCAGTAGTTCTCGACATACACAAAGGGAAAAGCAAGATTCTCTGATACAACACGACACTCAACAATCGAATCAAACTTGACGGAGAAGATTTGGAAGATGTGAAAACGTTTACATATCTGGACAGCATCACTGATGAACACGGTGGATCTGAGGCAGATATGAAGATGTGGATCGGCATAACAAGAGCACCATATTTACAACTGAAGAACATCTGGAACTCAAAACAACTGTCTATCAACCTACATCAAGGTCAGGATTTTCAATACAAATGTCAGCACAGTTCTACTGTATGGGGCAGAAACCTGGAAAACTACGAAATCCATCATCCATTAAATACAGGTGTTTGTTAACAGTTGTCCACGCAAAATACTTCAGATCCGTTGGCCAGACACTATGAGCAACAACCTACTATGGGAGAGAACAAACCAGATCCCAGTGGAGGAAGAAATCAGGAAGAAGCAATGGAAGTGGATAGGACACACATTGAGGAAAGCACCCAACTGCATTACAAGGCAACCTCTCACATGGAATCCTCAAGGCCAAAGGAAAAGAGGAAGAGCGAAGAACACATTACGCCGATAAATGGAGATAGACGTGAGAAGAATGAACAAGAATTGGATGGAACTAGAGCGGAAGACCTAGAACAGAGTGGGTTGGAGAATGCTGGTCGGCGGCCTATGCTGCATTAGGAGTAACAGGCGTAAATAACCCTTAAATTGAAGTGAATTCTGTGCAAAAAATTAATTTTTTTCATGAGTGCCTTAATTGAATGAGTTATGTAGAAATAGATCTCATTTGTAGGTTTCATTCCTTACAAATTGATCTTAGTTGAAGTAAAATTAAAATTAGGGCAGCATTAGACGAGTATTTCATCGTATCGTTGAATTCATCTAATGGACAGGTGTTTGTAGCGCAATATGAGGATCTAGATTCGACACCTGGTGGGGTTGCCAGTTCTCACTAGTGAGGGATCCCATACTGGGAAGAAAGCACTGTCTAATGCCCTTTGATTTTCAAATGTCCCCTATCGAATTGAAATCAACCTATGACAAATACAACCTAAAAATACTGTTTAAATTCGATGAAATAACTTACTGGTGAACATTGTAATAGTTTTTCAGCGGCGGCTGTTTGTACACCAGCATTCTTTTTTTGTAATTTGCCACGATTTTTAATTAAACGATTTAATACACGTATACTGGCAATTTTTATATAAATTACAATAGGTGCTAAACATGTTTTAGTAATTTGATTTGGATGATTAATTGTATCACAATCTAGTAAAAGTAATTGCATTTTACTACCCAAATGAAATATTCTTTCTAAATCTTGTTGAACTTCAACTTGGTAAAGAAATGAAAAGAATAAATCATACATATATACATGCAGATTAAATGATCAAATTGTCGGATAACATTAAATTGAAAGTATCATTATTATTAGTAAGGGTTTAAATTGTTCTGTTGAACATGTAAGTGGCTTTCAAGACTTATTAGCTCAGTAGAGAATGTGTTGACCTACGGAAAGAATGACACTGTGTTTGAGTATGAACATGACCAACGATATTTGAATGTAGGTACGTCCAACTGACGCGTCTTGAATAGTATGAAGAGACATTGTACTGTATTTCACTTCTAGTAATAATCCATCTATTATAAATTTAAAATACTTAAGAAATAATTCTTGCCATAGACTAGTACGGATTTTAAAACCATTGGAAGTTATGAGGTGCTAAAAAACTGAGCATAGGTCACGTTATCTTAAGAGGATATTGAGTAGTGATTCAGTGGTTTATATTTGTAATTTCGATCTATTCCCTGATAAAAATCATTTCAAAAGTGGAATAATATTTAAAAAATGACTAAGTTGTAATGTTGCCATTAACCTAAATGACTTGAAATCTCGTATATTATTTTTTTAATGTTACATGGTTGAAACTAGTCAGAGAGATTAACTGAACTCGAGTTTCACACTAGTTAGCACTCATCACCAAGACGTGTCTTTATGGGATTGATGCTCTCTGTAGAATTCAAATCAGAGCCACTCAGCTTCACAGTTTGGGACGCTAATACTGAGCTAGTAATTAATCTATTGTTTGTCTGTTCCTTTAGTGCTGATCTAGTCCTATTACAATGTGGCTACTTGTCTAAGTGACAAAACATTGCACGTACTATATCGAGATGTGATCTTTCTCAATTATTGTTTGAAATACGTTGAAAAGTAAGCGCATGATTAGATTGTTCGATATTTGCGCTGCATAAATATGTAGCGTTTTTAAATGAACCCCAGCTTTTGATAACGCGAATGAACTCTTATTCGAATTATGAGAATAAACCCTAAGTGGATAATTAATGCAAAGTATAGTCGACCTGGTTGTAAACTTCCGATTAAGTTTTATGACTGATACAGTAATGTCCCAGGGCAATAAATTAAAAGTCATTAGATCTATTTCTGAATTAAGTCAAGGGCTTCTTTTTAGTTTGATCTTTGTCCTCAAATAAAAAAAAGAATCTATTTAGACTGAAGTGTTAAATAAGCTTAAGTGACTGGATAAACATCATGATCTAAACTTAAAAGCATCAAATAGAATAGTTTGTGGATTTTTTTTCGGAAGCTAAGTAACTTGTGATTTTCATATACAAATCAGTCTTTCTTTTGACTAGATGTTTTGTTGAAACGATGTTGTACTTCTGACCGATTCCAAATCGAAAGTGTGACATTTTAAGTTTTTTGAGAGAAATTCAAAATGTAATGATGAATGACATTCAATTTATGAAATAGCCAGTAACAAAAACATGAATAAATTGCCTACAATAAATTTATTGCAGCATCGTAAAGTAGAAAATGACCAAATGTGATGGTAAAATCACATAAACTTCTTATTCTCTTGAATATTCTTTGAATTTGAAAAGTAATCAATAATAATAAGTTCATTTTTTACCCTAAGTAAACTCTACATTACTAGTACATTAAATAACAGAAATTCCTGTGTGGTAAGAATGCTTATTACAAAAATTTCCCTACTTGTTATTTTGAAATGGCGCTTCATCGATAGTTCGGTAAGTTAGCATGAACATTTTGAAAAGATTATCAAAATATAAGTTATTGATTGAGATCATGAACCAAATGATGTCAGACCATCATTGAAAATCTGGGAGCACTGGACGGCCGTTTCGTCCTATTGTGAGACCCCTTGGCAGTGCACATCCAAGAACCTGCCCGCAGGATTCAAACGCAGGGCCTTGAGTCCTGCGCGAGGACGTTCAACCTACTAGACCAGTGAACCGGAGTTTAACGGTGTTAATGTATAGCCCAAAACAATCCATAAAATTGCGCGATCACACAATAGGACGAAACGGCCGTTTAGTGCTTCCAGGTTTTCAATGGTGCTCTAACATCAATCGGTTCATGATCTAGATCAATAACTTAATAATCTCCACAACTCTATACCACAATACATGTATCAGACTGGTTTTAACATTAGAAGTTATCACCAATATAACAGGATTTAATTTTGAATGTAGAGTATTGTAAAATCCAAAAAATAGCGATTATAAACACTTAAGAGTTCATTAGATAAGTAAAATCACTTCCATATATCCATATTAGGCAATCGAATCTTAATTTACACAATCTTGAGGTTCATTAACTAATTTAATCAAATTTCTAAAGATCAACTTACTTACGTCTGTTACTCCTAATGGAGCATAGGCCGCCGACCAGCATTCTCCAACCCACTCTGTTCTAGGTCTTCCGCTCTAGTTCCATCCAATTCTTGTTCATTCTTCTCACGTCTATCTCCATTTATCGGCGTAATGTGTTCTTCGATTTTTCTCTTTTCCTTTGGCCTTGAGGATTCCATGTGAGAGGTTGCCTTGTAATGCAGTTGGGTGCTTTCCTCAATGTGTCCTATCCACTTCCATCGCTTCTTCCTGATTTCTTCCTCCGCTGGGATCTGGTTTGTTCTCTCCCATAGTAGGTTGTTGCTCATAATGTCTGGCCAACGGATCTGAAGTATTTTGCGTGGACAACTGTTAACAAACACCTGTATTTAATGGATGATGGATTTCGTAGTTTTCCAGGTTTCTGCCCCATACAGTAGAACTGTGCTGACATTTGTATTGAAAATCCTGACCTTGATGTAGGTTGATAGACAGTTGTTTTGAGTTCCAGATGTTCTTCAGTTGTAAATATGGTGCTCTTGTTATGCCGATCCACATCTTCATATCTGCCTCAGATCCACCGTGTTCATCAGTGATGCTGTCCAGATATGTAAACGTTTTCACATCTTCCAAATCTTCTCCGTCAAGTTTGATTCGATTGTTGAGTGTCGTGTTGTATCAGAGAATCTTGCTTTTCCCTTTGTGTATGTCGAGAACTACTGCTGCTGAGGCTGTTGCTACACTGGCCGTTTTCTTCTGTATTTGTTGTTGCGATTGCGACAGAAGAGCCAGATCACCTGCATATTCTAAATCGTCCAGCCGCATTCTAGCTGTCCACTGTATCCTATGCTTCCCTTCAGATGTTGACGTCTTCATGATGCCGTCGATCACCAGCAGAAAGATAATGGGTGAGAGTAAGCAACATTGCCTAACACCGGTCTTTACTTCGAACGAGTTTGTCAGCTGTTCTCCATGCACACTTTTGCAGTTTAATCCATCGTACGAATTCTGTATGATATTGACTACGATCCGAGGCACGCCGTAGTGTCGAAGAAGCTTCCATATTGTTGTCCTGTCCACGCTAGAAACGCTCAAGATCAACAATGAAGTATAATTTTTCAATATTCATTATACATAAAATAAATTTTCCAAAGAAGAATTACTTAGAGAAACAAGCTGTCGACTACGTCCTTTTTCCATAATATTCTTTTTATCCAAATGTAATAATTCTCCAACACGTTTAGCCAATGATATATTTGTACTGACACGACTAACAATAATTCTATAATAAATGGAATAGTTAATTGGAAGAATTTATATAATTTAATATTTGATCAAATAATTTACAATTTTGTTAAGAGATAAATACTGTAATGCATAATGATCATTAGTTAGTTATTTTCAAAACACTAGAAATAGCATTTTGATTTCCGAACGTAGCTGCTATATGGATGTGGTAATTGGATTTACATATCACGATTATCCTAACGAGTTATATTAGTTGGAAAGCTTGTACCTTTACGTTATATTATGTCAGAGGAATCGGTTGAAAAGTGGTAAGACTAAACACAAAAAACGTAAGATCCAATAGATAATTTTTAGTACCACATGAACATGAATGTGGCGACAATACAAATTTTTTTTGCAGATAACCAGAATCTCCAGAGATACCTCCTTCCTGAAACAAAAGGACAAGGTCAAAAAATATAGGGCCTAAAAATACCACACCTCAACTTGGTTCATGGATTTCCTCCGCTAGCTCTGATGTCTGAAAAGTACAGAGCCAATACACCTAGAACTCTTCACAAGAAGACCATGTTTGACCGTCTTCGAGCAGTTGTTCATCCGGTTCTATTTTCATACTCCCAGGTCAACACATCACTGTTAACGCATTTACTTTATCAGGTCCCTTTAGAAGAAGTAACTACTATCATCTTTTATATCAGTACTCACGATCATCTTCATCCATTCCAATTACATAAAAATAATCTACTCAACAATTTATTATGCTCTAAATAACAGTTTGTAACTTATTTTACAAATATAGAAATACTTCAAACTAACTAAGCCTAGTATATCATACGTAAGTGAAGTAAACCAGCAAAGTACAGTTAACTCATTACATTTTGTAAGCACAATTACTATTGATTTGTTGAAACAAAGCTTCAATCAATATCCCTCAACGTTCTACCTGATATTTCTTTCCATTATAGGTAGATTTACACCTTACAATGAAAAATTTGAGAAACTATTTAACATAGATTATCTATTTATTCATAGTTTTAGAGGGAAATTTGGTCTCTGATCAGGGTGGTTTATTCATAAACCTTCGGTTATCCTTCTATCAACAGGATAAACTGTTAGTCCCCATGCATCTAAAGTTTATACTGATAATGTTGTTCAGATTCACATTCGAAGTTTTATGGTTAAACACCATAGTTTAGTGAATGAAACTCTACTAAAATCATCCACTTGAGCTACAAATCTTTGTCATCGTTTCAGTACATTTACAGTACTAACAAAAAGTTGAAAAAAAACTGTACGTTATCACAGAAAGTCTTCAAATGAATGATTTCTCAAGGCAACATGTACATTAAAGAGTAGTTTGATTCGATAAATTGTAAACTATTCCTTCTTTATGGAATATTAATTCAGAAATACATTTATATATGCTCCAGTTAACAAACTTCTTTAGAACTAGTATGGAATATTAGAAATACAATCTTCCGAAATAAATTGTTAAGAATTATTTAAACAATCAAATGAGTAAATCAGAAAATGTTTGAGTTTTGTTTAATATAACAAAGGAAACAATATTTATAAAGCTCTATGTTAATTATAGTTGCGTATGTAGTTATGACTAGCTGCAATATGTATTCACGAAGTTCTTCTGAAAAGCTATAAATCATAGATATTAACTTTGTTGATAATCAGGTGAACTTCATTGATGAGATTGGATAATAATTGTGCAATCCCACGATTTAACTAAAGTTGAGAATATTGACATCTGGATTCTAACTCAGTAGTGTGGAAATATCGTAATCACCACAAGATCTGAGTCCATCTACAGTATTACATGTTCACTACTGAGGAGTTCCAATATACGATGAATTAAGAGTCAAGTACCTCCTGATTTTCAGTGGTTCATCAACCGATAACAGTTTATGATTAGTACCAATTTCATATTAAAAATGAAACGAATAGCTTTCGGAAGCCAGTACACATATTGCTCCGCCTACAGCCCCGCTGGGGCTACTGCTAGTCACAAACCCGGATAAATAAGGAAGGTTGGGCATGAAGTTAGCGAATCCATTCCGTAGAGAACTAACTCGTTAAAAAACACTAACCAGAAAAGAATAATTCAAATCATTTAAACTGTACCCTGGGAGTTAGGAGGTCTGCATTTAGAAGAGTTATGACGCCTCATGGTGAAAGTCGAGTTCCTTCGGAAGTCACGAGGCTGACAACCAGAGCAACTATTTATTTATGTACATGAAATGCCCGTACAATGTGGGAAACCAGAAGAGTCTTCCAAATTGCTGCAGACACACATTGCTTTGTTAATTTCGGTATAGGAAATGATAACGATATACTCATTAAATTTTTTTGTGGTCAAAACATACTACTCAACAGAATATCTATTTGTATTAATTATAGACATTTTAATAATATACAAACCTTCCATCAAAATGCTTTTTCATTGCATCAAATATTGCTTTCTGCATCATATCTGTCACTTCATAACCTTTCAAAGCTGGACCAACAAATACAACAGGGCGCATACATGGTACAATTTCATATGGAGGCACAAATTCATTCTGTAAATATATATAAAAAAATAATGACCAATATAACTAAACAATTGTAAACATAATAGGTTCTGTGATACAAAAGCAGATACATACTACACACTGGAAATTGTACAAAACAGTTGTTTATTAAAAGTCTAGTGAACAAGAACAACATTGGGGACAATCGAATGTACTTGACACAAAATTACAGGACTTATTAATAATATTTAACAATCAAATAGTAAATACTTAATTTGCAAAATGTCCATCAATTATTTCATAATGACTCAGACTTCATTGTTCTTGCATTTTCATACAAATTGCATCCTGTTTCCATTCTTTGCTGTTCGATCTTCTTGTCTCTCTGCTGCCAGACATTCTGTTCATGACTAACATCATCTACTACTTATGTCAATATAAGTAGCACACACCACAATAGCAGTATTTACTTAAATCACCTTATTGTGAATGTAAATTATCATATTAATGTTTGACACTCATTTACATAGATCGAAAGGTTTTTAAATGAATGATAAATCTCTTAGGCAGTAAATAAGACATTGATGAATGACGGAGATATATAATTCAAATGAAAAATTTCATGATATGATGATCTAAAAACTTCAACAGTGAAATTCTAGCTTTTTTAAAGGATGATTCCACTAAAAAAACAGATTTCATTGTAGAAGCACTTTAGTTGAAAACTTGGTACCATTAAATAACTTTCTTGTTTTCTTCTGAAACATAATACGGAATCTTCAAGATAATATCCATGTATTGCGGTTAGCTAACTCAGGTTAAATTGGTAATTAACAACTAAAGAGTGGCTTTTCGGATGACAAACCTTAGGTTTTAATGTTAACTGGTTATGACATTCTTCATCAGTAAGAAACATATCGAAAAACTCTTTTTGGGTATTAGCGGTTTGTCATATCGATTCTAGTTTGTAGCCAAATCGATCCTTAGAATAGCTTGTCCTTTGAAGATAACAAATGTTATGACATCTGAAAAGGTTTTGGGTGTTCATATTTAATTCACAAACACATTCTTAGTGTCTCTCGTATACACCAGAATCATCAAGCTGGCAACATTGAAGGACGACTGAATGTATTTCGTAAAGATAACATATCACTTCATGACGTAGTGAGTCTTCATCGACTAAGTTGTTTGGGACATGTTTTATGTATACCTTGATGAATGATATTAGCTTGTGTATGAGTTAGTTAGAAGAAAGCTAGAGACAACTAAATTAGAACGGGGCACGATCTCATGCATTCAGTGGCCATCTGTCTGTTGCACAATATCTGGTTCAGACCCACAGTATAACTGTGATCAGAGGTTTGAGACGTAAGGTGACACGACTCAGAATCGTCGAATTCAGACAGAAGCAATCACCATTTGTTTTCTCTTAAATCTTGAGTTTCGAAATTATTTTACATTCCTACTGCAGTGGTCCATTCTTCTTTCTCTGATCATATTGTTTATGCTTAACATTTTTTTACTACCACTGACACCGTTACCACGTTTACTGCTTTTGGGTTTCACTTGATAATGCACGTCACTGTACTGATATGGTGTGACAACTTGAAACAACTTACATACACTCCGGGTTCCGCTGTGCATGAATAACTCCATAAACTAATAACAAAATTTCAAATCTTGACTCAATCTTTATGAAAGGAAAAGTCGCTGATGGGAAACAAGTGTTGGATACAGAAATTATAATTAAAACAATAACACCTAGTTAGCATAATGTTACCTTTTTAGAGAATGGTCTCTTCTTAACTCCAGGACCAACAGGTTGAGGTTTCTTGGCAGTTGGTTGTCCTGGTACCTCTACAGTTTGTGGTATATCACGTAAATCATCTTCATCATATGCATCAACATCTAAATAACAGTTTTCAGTAACATGCAAATTAAGCTCTATGTAACGTATACTACTAATATTAAATATAAGTAGCGAATGTAGTTTTAACAAACAGTTAGCAAAATCAATGGGTAGCATTACTATAATCTATGGTCTGAATAATTCAATTTTAAAGCCATAAACATAACAGGATTTTGCAAAATAAGATTTTTCTTCACTTATCGCCTCTTACTACAGATGATGAATTTTCTCAGTTATGGGAACTATTGTATGTATCAAATATGTACAATCATCAAAACAATGAACATTCTACCGACACATCTTAAATAACTCTGGATTAATACGATATTAATAATACCGACTGAAATTAACCATCTTTCTACAAAATAAGTGACTTCCTTTTATTTTATTATGTGTACAAAAAGAAGCATTATACTGATACATAATTTAACCTAACCACTTGCTTGGGTGAGAAAACCATGAGTGATAAGGAAGTTTTTGCTAGCTAACCAGAATCGAAGTATGTGCACAAATCCATTTCTTGATAAAGATATATGCCCCTAAAAAATTAAGGCCGATTTTCAATTAGTACAGAATATCTGCATCCCTTGAATTGCTAGGCCATATCTTGACCAACAACATTCACTCTTTGGCTTCTCTCACTTATCTTTTGGCCTGAAGTAACTGACTGTAATATATAAGAAAAAGTTACAAACCATGTATCTCCATCTTGAAATTCACATTCAGTATATAGAATTTCGTTCCCATTCAACTATATTGCAAATGAACCTTTGAATACTTGAGTTTCTAACGTTGGATATATTAGTGCTTACATATATTACAGTATTTCAAACTCATTATGATTTCTGCTGACACTATTGAATGTATATATCGGGTGCAAAATTTAAAAATTGACACTGAAGCAATATGACATCTACTGTCAGATATCAGAACTTATTTGAAACAATTCTATTGTTTTTATTTTTAGACTAGATAGTTTGGAACCATATGTTAGTTGGCTTGTTATCGTCTTTATCATTATATATTACTCATTATTATTGTTAGTAGCAAATATTTTGTCCGTAAAATTATAATGCAGTCAGGTGATCGTCAACTCGATCTTCCAACATCCGTTGTGGTGAATAACTGCCTAAAACAAATGATTTTATAAACACGTAACATTGTTACTGACACTGTTAGACATAACGAACACTGCTAGCTGAGGATGCTCAGTCAACCACCGTGGTCATATCCAGGTACATCAGATATGAAATTCTCCCTCCCCTATAAACGACCAGACTGTAGGACTTATATTCCTCTGATTCACCTCACATTCAGATATACTGTTTATCCAAACCATTATCGGTTTCTTCCCTCTTTATTTTCGGGTTATCTTTCATTAGTAAGATATTTGAAAGGAAATACTATTTGATTCTGTTTTGTTGTAAGTATCGATGAGATTGACATTTAAAGCTAATTTTAATTATTAAACTATGTATTTATTACTCTTTACCTACTATTATTTGTTGTACAGTTTAGTTTGCGTCATTAGTTACTCGTATGTAAGCTTTAACTAATCTGTTATTTTTCAGAGATGCACATTAATACTGGGATATATATTAAAATAAAACCTGATGGTAATTTTATTGAAATCATATTACTCGCTTATGTTTGCTGTTATCAGTTGTTCAAATAATTTACTACGTTTTAAGACAATCATTTCATCTCAATGAACATTCCACCATGCATATTTTAAAATTTACCTTTCCAATTTTTATGAACTGGGGGTGATTCCGATTGCCTTTGACGATTAGCACTTAAAGTTGGTCCACGATGGTCTACACTAATAAATATTGAAAAATAAAATAGCTAACAATTAAAACAACCATTTATATTTTGTAATAAATTGAGGTTAAATATTAACACAGTTGCGTGTTAGGTTAGTGCTCTAGAGGTTAAGGGTTTGCGCGCAAGATCCAAGTTTCTGGGTTGGATTCCCGCTTTCAGGGTCTTGGATGCACACTGCTGACGATTTCCGTACTGGGGTGCAACGGCAGTTCAGTTCTTCCTGGTTTTTAATGTTGATTTAACATTGACTGGTTTATGATTTCAGTGAAACGCAAAAATCTTCACTGCTCTTTATTAGCAATCAATTATAATGGAATTAAAATGACCACTAGTCAACATAACTCATACTATGTTCAGGCAAATTACCAGTCAAACGATAACTTGACTTAATCACTTGCCAACCACCAATATAACAAAAATGAGCTTTAGAAAACAACTTCTATATTAACAGTCATTTGCACGCTACTGGTTCATTGCAGATGTATTTCCTGAATTCCTCTGCGAAGCTGTGACCAATGGAGCTTAGTTATATCAAATATAAGCCAGTACCTCACCAATGGCTTTGGAATGTCCTGTATTTATTCTCTGGTTAAGTCTTGGATGTATACTGTTGAGGAACCCCAATCGAAAACGAAAGGACTGTCTAGTTGTTCCGGGTTTCCAATGATAACTCAACTGATATTAATCTGTAACAAAATACAAACTGCAAATTACCTCAATCTCTACTAAATTCCTTCAACTAAATAAATATAGTTTGTTCAATAATTCAAGAAAGTGCGAATACAGTTATTGTAATGAAAGTGATTCCAGCCACAATTCGTACTCTATAATTGTAGTATTTGTTCACATGAATTGTAATCCATTCTCTCCGTTGGTGATAATATCACAAGTACAATACCAGGACTTAAAGACTGGTAGCTAAAATAACCCGATGAGCTTAAGTACTTTACTGACAATTTCATAAGATATTTAAATAATTAGATGTGTATACGATTATTAATAATGAGACATTTTGTTAAGATGAGATGAATAAATGAGAACCCCTATGTATGGAAGTTATTTTTTGGGGAAATTAACACATATGATTTCAATCTTTGTTTAATAAACACTTAATTTGTACGATTTTCAGATTCCCTTAATTGTAAGTTTTCATTTAATCTGTTAATAATCACTATATATTTTGTCGTTACCAAATTGTAGTAAGCTTATTGTAAGCCTGTTAATTAAGGTTGCACTGTAATCTTCCTAGTTGTGACTTCTTAGTTAGAATTCGTTGTGAACTAGTAGTTTATATAAATTGAAATATGAGCTTTATTAGGTTCGTATAAAGAAGAAAAGGTTACATTTGGCTCTTTTGCTCATGTTCTGATTAAAATTTATGAACAGAGTATTTATGTGTGAATCAACAAGAATTAAAGAAGGAACGAATTGAGCGAAGAGATTTCTAACCGAATCGGAGATGAATTGGTTAATATTCGTAACTTACTTAGTAAGGATGGGTACCCTATGAAATTCATTGACAAACACATGATGGAGATGAAAAGAAGAACAAAGATACCTACCGTCCCTAAGAAATTACTGTTCATAAAATTACAACTTATAAATGACACTACTGAAGAAATCGTGACTCAGAGTATAAGAAAAGCTGTTCAAAAAACATTTAATGCAGCCAGATTAAATGCTATCTTCTACAACCGCCTCACAATAAGAACGGCTAATAAAGACAAATCACCTGAATTCGCCGAATCGAATTGTATTTATCGATTCAACTGCTCATATAGAGCCAGTTATATAGGGCGTACACTTCGGCAAGTTCGTCATCGTTTTACAGAGCACCATCCGTCGTGGTTAATTATTGACAAGTAAGAGTGACTAAAAATTCTATTCTCGCTCACTAGGTTGACACAGGTCATCAAGTTGAATGGAATAAAGCTTTTAAGGTTATCTACCATATTCCATCAAATTTGCCACATGGTCTACGAGTGAGTTTTTTGCACATTGCGGAAGCCATCGCAATCCATGTTCACAAACTTAACCTTTGCATCCAAAAGAAATTTGTACAACCACTTTCGCTACCTTGGCCAACGGTACAAGGGCTCTTGTAGCAGAACTGTTTTTGTACTTCTTCCATTTTGTTTTTGTTTTTTGAACTCCGTGTTTTTGTATTTCTTTTCTCAACATTCATCTCTTGATTCTTACGTAACTATTATTCTATTGATCATCCATTAAAATATTCTGTTCCCTCTCTTTTTCATATATTATGCAACGTGGAAACTTCTTGATTTTTGAATAATTACTTTGAATATTATTAATCCTCTTTCTTCCAATGACTCAATGTTAATTTATAATCGAAATGTCTTCATGTAATTATTACGTAACGTCGTCTACTCGATGAGTATTATTTCATTATTGTAAATCATATATATATATATATATATATATATATATATATATATATATATATATATATATATATATATATATATATATATATATTAGTGTAGAGCCATGATGAGAAACTAATTGAAAAGAAATTTCTCCGCTCAATTCGTTCCTTCTTCATTTACCGAGTGTCAAAATGGGAATTTTCACTATATTCAACAAGAATTACTATGTCAGATCACTGAGTCAAGGTATCAGTGTGGTATATACTACTTGTGATGACAGGTAAGTAGTATGTTTCACTAATCGGGAGTGGAACGTCTTCGAGAGTAAGACCGAATCGAAGAGAACGAGAAGAGAAACAGAGAGCAATTGGAATAGCAACCGAATTGAAAGGAAGAATTATTATCTTCATTACAACTGAAGGAAGATGTGCAAACAATGTATTTAAAGTATCAGTTTCATATGTTATGGAAGCACTGTGTAAATTTTAGTAAAACAATAAATTGGTTTGTATATGTATATAGCTTACTCGCTAGACAACAACAATCCACGATTTCCTCCACGTTCTAACGTTGTGTCGGCAGATCCGAATCCACCAACAGGGGCTGGTTTACGCAAACAAAAATAGAATTATGAAAAATATAAATCACTTATTTCATAAAATAAAATTCCGGTATTTATTATTGTTAAGTCCCGAAAACGTGGCAAGAAACGGTTGTCTAATCATTTACAGTTTATAACATTTCCTCATGTAACCACATTTCGTGATAACAAAGAAACCAAATTTCGAATAAGGTTTTCCTTTTTTAAACAAAGTTGACACAAATAACTGTTAGCATAGGTTTATGAAAATTGTTGAATATTTTTGGTTTACAACTCATATTGGTTTCGGTTAGATAACCACCGGAAATTAAGAAACACTAGACATCTGTTTCGACCTGGTATGAATTTCCTTGACTGCGCGCATCCACGAGCTGACCGTAAGTCAAACCTAGAAACTTCACATTTCGTAAAGAGCGCTTAAACTTTACACCACTGGACTGGCATCTAGTTGTTTTTATTTTAAACAAATTTAAGACAAAATATCAGTCTTTTTTATAAAATTTTACTCACATTATTTCTCTTCAACTGAGTTGAAAAGCCCTAACACTTTATGTGATCAGTTGTTTTTCTGAGCTTTTTTTTATAACAAATCAATCTCCACAAAATTCTATACTGATAGTGCTCCTTCCAGCCAAACAAGTTGGTGAAGCCTAGTAGGCCCTTCTGGAGAAGAGGCTACATCGAAGTACGGCACAACTACCGGAGCTCAATATTTGTTTTTGCAGGTTTTTTGTTTTTGGTTTTACTTCCTGTCCAGTGATTGCTGACCATCTATGTACTACATAGCAGTGATTGATTATACCTTTCTTAGTTGGGAGACTTTTAGTGCAGCCAGGGTATGAACATCTATTTACATTATTTATGGAATTATTTTTAGTTATTTGGATTTTAGCTTCTTTTACTGGTGATTTGTGATGTCGGTGATACGACTGAATGTGTTTATTAAGCCAGCCCAAAGTTTTGTACGTTCTATTACAGTCATTTAGGGGACATTTGTAAGGTAAAACCTTACTGGGTTTATTTTGATGATCATTTCTATAATATCTATCCATTTATTTGACTGTTGCGAACATTCTATCGCGGTTATTATTTTGGCATTTATAGTCTAGTTGACGTTTACCTATTATTTTGGGGAAGTATTCCTGATGTGCGTTGATTTTAACCTTATTGGGCTGCAATATCCAGTTCTCAGGTAGTCGTTTACCCATTTCTTCAGTGTCTTGGTGTAGTTGTTTTAGGTAACTTCAACTGTAGGCTAGGCCTGGATCTTCACGCTTACTACCCTATTATCATAGGGAAAACTATCAAGCTTGAACCAGAAACAACAACAAATGGCATGAGACTAATAAACTTATGCGAAACATTAAGTCTGCGAGTAATGAATACCTTCATTACTAAACCAGCTCATAAAACTTCCACCTGGGTGCACCCCAAGACACAAACGGAACATATAATAGACCTAGTGTTAATAGAAAATAATTTCAAGTTAATGGTCTGTGACATACACAACAGTCGATCTATGGAGGCTAAATCTGATCACTACTGATAGTAATCATTTTCTCTCTAGTGACTAGATTCCAGATGCAGTTCCTGAAATTTGAATGAGAAGCCGCGACTCGAGGAATGAAGGTCATAGCACTTTGAAATAGAATGATGAAATCATTTTATTCTACATGCCTTATTGTTCTTAAATGGTTTAGATTATTTTCTCTGGTAAGCGTTTTTTTAGCGAGTTAGTTTTCTACGGGATAGGGACGCTAACCCCATGCCCAACCCTTCTCCTTTACCCGGGCTTGGGACCGGCAGTAACCCTATAAGAGCTACAGGCGGAGTTTAACGGGGTCTAACAACCAGAGCATTGAACGTTCGAACAATGTGGGAAACCGGGAAGACCAGTCAAATAGCAATGGAAATGAGGAGATACAACTTAGCAGTACTGGGAATCAGCAAAACCCACTGGACCCAAGCTGGACAGAAAAGGCTAGCTACGGGAGAGATGCTGCTATACTCCGGTCACGAAGAGGACAATGCTCCACACACTCAGGGAGTCGCTCTTATGCTGTCCAAAGTAGCACGAAATGCACGAAATGTAGGATGGGAATCTCACGGATCCAGAATCATCAAAGCATCGTTCAAAACAAAGAAGGAGGGGATCATAATGAATATTATCCAATGTTATGCACCCACAAATGATAGCAACGACGACATTAAAGATCGGTTCTACGAGCGGCTGAAGTCAATCATTGAGAAATGCCCAAGAAAGGACCTAACTATTCTGATGGGAGATCTAAATGCCAAAGTCGGAATAGACAACACTGGATATGAAGATATTATGGGACGACATGGACTGGGAGAAAGAAACAAAAATGGAGAAAGATTTGCAAATCTATGTGCATTCAACAAATTGGTCATAGGGGGCACAATATTCCCATACAAGCGTATACACAAGGCTACATGGATCTCACCGGACCACACCACAGAGAACCAAATAGATCATATTTACATCAACAAAAAATTCCGAAGGACAATGGAAGATGTGAGAACCAGGAGAGGTGCTGACGTAGCCTCAGATCATCACCTAGTTGTAGCTAATTTAAAACTGAAGCTAAAGAAAAACTGGGCAACTGGACAAACAGCAATACAAAGGTTCAATACAGCCTTCCTTCGAGATACTGACAAACTCAATAATGTCAAGATAGCTCTCAACAACAGATTCTAAACATTACAAGATCTTAATTGCTGAAAAATTCCCATTCTATTAAGAACACGATTGTATGAACGAAGAATATTCTTTTCAATAATTTCTCATCAGGTTCTACAATTATAAATCCAGATTAATAATCCATAAAATTGGCCAAATTTAAGGCAAAATACATCATTTGGAAATTGTAATATGTGAATCAGGAATTGTTTGTTATATAAAATAAAATTGTTAATGTTGGGGCTGACTAATATGAAGTGTTAACTTGAATCACATATTACAATTTCCAAATGATGTATTTTGCCTTAAATTTGGCCAATTTTATGGATTATTAATCTGGATTTATAATTGTAGAACCTGATGAGAAATTACAAGATCTACTGAAGGAAGAAGAAACTACTATGGAGGACAACTGGAGAGGTATCAAAGAAGCATTAACTTCAACGTTTCAAGAGGTTCTGTGCCTAAATAAGCACCATCATAAGGAATGGACCTCTATAGAAACACTGGGCAAGATCAAAGAAAGGAAGAACAAGAAAACAGCAATTAACAACAACCGAACAAGAACAGGGAAAGTCAAGGCACAAGCTGATTACGTAGAAGCAAACAAGCAAGTGAAGAAGAGCATTAGAGCCGACAAGCAGAAATACGTGGAAGAACTAGCAACGATGGCGGAAAAAGCTGGAAGAGAAGGAAATATGAAACAGCTTCACGATACAACGAAGAAACTATCAGGGAAATACAGTAAACCAGAGAGGCCGGTCAAAGACAAAGAAGGCAAGCCAATCACCGAAATTCAACAACAGCGGAACAGATGGGTAGAATACTTCGAGGAACTCCCAAATAGGCCGGCTCCAATGAATCCACCGGACATCGAGGCAGCACACATAGATCTTCCTATAGATTTCAATCCACCAACAAAGGAAGAAATTAGAATGACCGTCAGACAAATCAAGAACGGGAAAGCAGCGGGTCCGGACAACATACCAGCTGAAGCACTGAAGTCAGACATCGAAATAACTACAAACATGCTTCACCTTCTATTAAAGAAGATTTTGGAGGAGGAACAAGTGCCGATGGACTGGAAAGAAGGACACCTCGTCAAGATTCCAAAGAAAGGAGATCTGAGCAAATGTGAAAACTATAGAGACATTACACTACTGTCAATACCAGGGAAAGTCTTCAACAGAGTGTTGCTGAACCGGATGAAGGATGCAGTAAACGCCCAACTTCGAGATCAACAAGCTGGATTCCGTAAGGATCGATCATGGACAGACCAAATTGCAACACTACGGATCATCGTCGAACAATCAGTTGAGTGGAACTCATCACTATACATCAACTTCATTGATTATGAAAAAGCATTCGACAGTGTAGATAGGAGGACATTATGGAAACTTCTACAACACTATGGAGGTCCTGAGAAGTTTGTCAACATTATCCGGAACTCATATGACGGACTACAATGCAAAGTCGTGCATGGAGGACAGCTGACAGATGAATTCCAAGTAAGGACCGGAGTCAGACAAGGCTGTTTACTCTCTCCCTTCCTCTTTCTTATGGTGGTCGACTGGATTATGAAGATCTCGACATCTGAAGGAAAACACGGAATACAATGGACAGCTCGAAATCAATTGGACGATTTGGACTTCGCAGATGACCAAGCCCTCCCATCACGTAAACACGAACAGACGCGGATAAAAACAGTCAGTGTAGCAGCAGTCTCTGCATCAGTAAGCCTCAGTATACACAAAGGGAAAACCAAAGTCTTCAAATTCAAAGCGGAAAACAACAGTCCAATCACTCTTGATGGCGAAACTCTGGAAGATGTAGAATCCTTCACATACCTGAGAAGCATCGTCGATGAACAAGGAAGATTAGCTGCAGATGTAAATACGAGGATTGGCAAACCAAGTGCCGCATTCCTACAATTGAACAACATATGGAAATCAAAAGAACTTTCAACCAATATCAAAGTGAGAATCTTCAATACCAACGTCAAGGAAGTTCTACTGTACGGAGCTGAAACTTGGAGAACTACAACAACCACAATCAAGAAAGTACAAGTATTTATAAATAGCTATCTTCGCAAGATACTCAACGTCCACTAGCCGGATACAATCAGCAACAGCCTTTTGTGGGAGAGAACAAACCAGCTTCCATCTGAAGAGAAAATTAGGAAAATACGATGGAAATGGATAGGACATACATTACGCAAATCGTCAAACTGAATCACGAGGCAAGCCCTAACTTGGAATCCTGAAGGGAAGCGAAAAAGAGGAAGGCCAAAGAACAGATTGCATTGGATAATAGAAACAGATATGAAAAGGATGAATAGGAACTGGACGGAGCTAGAAAGGATTGCCCAGGACAGGGTTGGATGGAGAATGCTGGTGAGCGGCCTATGCTCCTTCACAAGGAGTAACAGGTGTAAGTAAGTAAGTAAGTATTGTTCTTATTTTGCTTAAAAGAAAGGACGATGTGAACAGGATAAACTGACGATTCCATTCCTTAAGTCCTTATCAGACGTTGTTTACAACATGTACTAGAATTGCACTGGTAACAACGGTCATTTGAATATAAATAAAGAATTTACTGTTTTTAATGAAAATATTTTATTTAACGTTTTTCGAAGTCCGTTGAGCTTAAATAATTTTCTCTAAAGTATTCCGATATGGATTAGTGTATTTAAATCTTAGCCAGTAGTGGAATCGACATATCTTTTGGCGGTTCGTTCCAATAACATATACATACTCATATGCTGTATAGACTGTTGTTCAACCTTTGAAATAAAGCCTTCTAAAGTTTCCCAGTCTTCTTATTTGCGTAGCTGATTGATTTAAGGGTTAGGAGATCGCGATTTTGGCCGAGTGTGACTAGGAGATTACAACACACGGTTTGAGACTCTGACAGTGATATTTACTAACGTTTTAGGTAACCAACCAAATGAATTTACACCTTGTGCCAAGCCCATTACCTATAAGTCACTGCATCAGAACTCAGTAGTTCATATGTCCAACTCCTAATTTAGTAGCCTTAGAGTAATACAACTACCCCAAGGCCTGGTTTAGTTTCTTATTAGAGCCACTCATGTACACAACTAAGAAGCAGTAAACTAAGAGGAATTAAATATTTAATGATTTTAGTTTTCAGTATTCTTTAACTGTACTCAATTCATAATGTAAAGTGTCTTAGAATTATGTTTATGTGAAAGGAATAACATTTATGAGCAATAAAAATAGTAAACTAACAAAGGCAATAAAGAAAAACAAACTATCTACCTGGTTTAGTTGTCGGATTTTGAATTTCATTGGCAAAGTGTACCACATTAGTATTAGCAGCAGTAGCAATAGCTGATAAGATAATATTATTGATTACTTCAAGTTTAGATGGACTAGGTATAAAACCAATTGGACTACCTATTCGAACTACACGACCAATCCACCAATCTTGATTGAAACGTTTTTTAATATGTAGAAAATCTTTAATACCAAAACTAACAACTCTACTCGGTGATGGTGCATCCAAACCATATAAAGCTCCATCAAAACTTATATTAGTTCTAACTGAAAAAGCTACAGGTTTAGACTAGTTTCAATGAAAAAGAAAAGATAATTTTAAGGAACAAAAAACTTTAGAGGAATTTACAAAAAGTAAGACTAGTGTTAATAGAAAATAAATTTATATAATACACGTCAATAATGAATAAATTCTGTCTTTGAAGTGACTTCTACTCTATCTGATTCATGAAAATCAAAACAATATTCCAGATTGTTTTCAATCAATGCACATCATAGAGAAAGTGTTTAAGAATAAAGGCTAATTTATCTTTCTGAAAATATATTATCTACTAAATATCACTAAAGACAATTTTGCATTGTCAAAAGTAGAACTACGTTGTTTACTCATTGCGATCTTTTCTAATATTACTCTCGTTATTAGCTTAATATAAGGAATACTGAGTGTAATATTTGTGTTACTTTGTAGTGTGTTATTATACTCAGTATAACATAGATTTATTTTAGTGTAATGTTTATTCATGATACGATATTCTTTGTATTAAATTAACGTAAACTATGCTCAGCATAACATGCAGTATGTATTTACTTACTTACGTCTGTTACCCCTCATGGAGGAGCAAAGGCCTCTCATCAGCATTCTCCATTCAACTATATCTTGGGCAATCCTTTCCAGTTGCTATACATCCTATTCATATATTATTCCAATTCTCGGCGCAGTGTAGCTCTTCTAGGGCTACTGCCCGGATAAAGAAGAAGGGTTGGGAGTGGGGTTGGCGACCCAATTCTGTAGAAAACAACCTTACTAAAAAAAGACGCTAACCAGAATAAACATAGAGCATGAGCTTTGTTATACTTCTGACAATCTTTCAAATATGCGACTTTTTTTCTAATTAATAACCAAAGCGGGTGTATAATCAATATATAAATAAGTGTATTTTCAACTAGAGTGGTTGTGTCATTATGTAGTCTTCCGTATCCTTACTTTTCATAGTGTGAATTATAGTGATTCTTTATTGTCAAGTATAAATTGAAAGTGAAGCGGTTATAACTAGTACACAACTCATTTTATAAAATTAGGGCTTCTTAATGACGTTAATGGCGTTCCCACTTGTGATCCGGTACGGATGCATGACCGAGCGTCTTCAGCTAGGTGAGTTCATTAAAACATGTGGTCAACATCCAATGTCGAAAACTTACAGAGCTATGTATTTTAGGGATTTATTTACCGCTACAGTGTCAACTATAGGTTTTCTGAAATCATTTTTTTTATAGCTAAAGAATAATGAATTTTTATACTATCAACTATGTTATATAAAATGAGTTAATAATTGGTTTTCTATTTAGTGATCAATTATTAATAATAAATAAATACAATGAAATAGAAAAGAAAAAATAATGAAAGATAATATAAATTGTTTTAACTTACAACTGCTAATTCAAGTTCTTTTAGAGCTAAACGTTCTAATTCTAAGCGTTCTGCTTCTAAAATTACTTCACTATCAACTGAACTGGTACTTTCACTGGAACGTCTTGAACTCTGAAGAAAAAAATATATTCAAGTTAAATTCAATATATTCTACATTTAAATAGTTATTATGTTCATTTTAAAAAGAATTAAATTATATGGTCTTGTTGTCAAGATATGGGAAACAGTTGTAAATTGACAACTTACAATGAAATTTTTTCACTCATTTCTTTAAATGATCTTAGAAATTTAGAAATAATGAGATAAGACGATAATTTGTGGATGACCTTTGAGCGACGCTAAAGTGACCTTGAGAGTGTTCACCTAATAACCAGGACCAAATGAGGGTTATAAACCAGCGTGAGGAATTAGAATTATAATTTATAGTTGATGTTTAGGGTTAGGAATTAGATTTAGGTTTTACATCATGAACTGACATCAGCCATAATGCCAAAACTCTATTTAGTCAAATGGATGGGTGAGTTTCGCGCCAAAATCCGAGTCCTGTTATCTTATACCTGATTGGTTCATCCATAAATTATAGTCACGCTAATAATGCATATTGAACATATTTACGCTGTGGCCGATGCGAACGTTTAATATTTTAACGTAAAACATCGTGTTGTTTACTTAATTGTATATGCTTTACATTAGCCATTGATATACAATTATTATAAGTTTATGGAAGTTATTGAAAATAACTATTCAGTCAAATACTTCCTGTCCTTAAATACCAGTAAGTCTATTGTAGAAAATTGTAACTATCAAAATTACAAGGGATTCAGTGTTTTATCTGACTGTTTGGTTCGAATTATTTGAAGGAAATAATCGATAAACACGAAGAATTAGTTATTAAGACTAATTATCTTGTAATACTTGCTTATATTGATTGATTACTGGTTTCAGCGATGATTAAATATTCTAGTTGAAATGACAGAGAAATGTTAATTTATTGGATAAGGTTCTTCTAGTCGAAAAGAAGTTAATTGTTTTAATGTACAAGACTTTGTGTTATCCAATTGTTGGCAATCGGAACTGAATTTTAACCAGTCATTGTTAGTATTGGGGATTTTGGGTGAATCTCATGAAATTAACACTTTATAACAAGTTTTGGTATATCTAAATTGTGGTAAGGAGTGAAACCTATGGTGAGTATTTCATTCTATTTGGGACTCATCGAATAAGTGTAACTGAATTCCAGTGCTGATTTTTGTACAGATTCGAACACCGACGCAATATCCGCAAAACTACTGAGTTCTGATAGCCTACAACTTGTTCAGTGATTGCAATCTTAATAAGTGAGAGTTTGGATTCACTTGTTTTTTGAGGTAATAACTACTGGGAGAAGTAAATACTTCTAGCTGAAGAGTCTTAAATAAGAATAAATACAAATCTTGGGTTCCACTGCTAAGCACAAGTTAAATATACTATAGCTTGATTGTCCAAAGTTTATGGTGACATAGCTATACTGAAATATTCATTTATTAATTTTCTCTCAATTTCAAATACCATTATCTCCTATTCCTGCATATGAAACTAAATATTTTTGTTTTCCTGGATTTTATGACTTTACACTGTCACCCTATTTCTAAAAACGACATTTTGAATTGTTACAATATTATCCTAAACTCTATGCTAGTCTAGTTAACATGATGATAAGTTAATGAAATCAACGGACGAATTCTATTACTTTTTGCTTCAAAGAAATATATTAATTAATTGCAAGTTTTAACTATCAACATCATTTCATCTTTTGAAAAAAAAAACGAATCTATCATAAATTCTCAGTTAGTATTTTATAATGAACTATGTGAACATTTACATCATCGTTACAATTTGTATCTGACTAAAAAGCCCAAAATATAGATCCGTAGATTCGTTAAGATTATTTTCGTTTTTCTGACATCAGAAATATTACTTACGTACACCTGTGACTCCTCGTGAAGGAGCATAGACTGCCCACCAGCATTTTCCATCCAACCCTATCCAAATCAAGCCTTTCCAGCTCCTTCCAGTTGTTATTCATCATTTTCATATCTGCTTCTATTCCCCGACATAATGTGTTCTTTGCGCTTCCTCTTTTCCACTTCCCTTCAGGATTCCAAGTTAGGGCTTGTCTCGTGATTCAGTTTGGTGATTTGCGTAATGTATATCCTGTCCATTTCCATCGTTGTTTCCTAATTTTCTCTTCAGCTGGAAGCTGGTTTGTTCTCTCCCACAGAAGGCTGTTGCTGATGGTATCCGGCTAGTGGATGATGAGTATCTTAGGTAGACAACTATTTATAAGTACTTGTACCTTCTTGATGATGGTTGTAGTAGTTCTGGAAGTTTCAGCTCCGTAGAGTAGAACTGCTTTGACATTCGTATTGAAGATTCTCACTTTGATATTGGTTGAAAGTTGTTTTGAGTTCCATATGTTGTTCAAATTTTAAGAATGCTGTCCTTGCTTTGTCAATCCTCGCCTTTACATCTGCAGCTGATCTTCCTTGTTCATCGATGATGCTTCTCAGATATGTGAAGGATTCTACATCTTCCAGAGCTTCGCCATAAAGAGTGATTGGATTGCTGTTTTCCGCTTTGAATTTGAGGATCTTGGTTTTCCCCTTGTGTATTTTGAGGCCTACTGATGCACATATTGCTACTACACTAGTTGTCTTCATTTGAATTTGTTCGTGTGTGCTGGATAGGAGAGGTAGGTCATCTGCGAAGTCCAACTCGTCTTATTGGATCGAAAATATTACACCACATATATTATTATGGGTGTGTATTGTTTATTCACATTCAATTTATTAGAAAATGCTTACGGATTTTTACGGAAATCTTTGAATTTAAAGATTACATCACGATTTAATATCAATTAGACAATCACTGAGAACCGTGAAGCGATGAACATCTTTTTTCCCTAATATGGAACATCTCAGGAGTGTGCACTCACGAAACCACTGAGAATCGAAGTTAATAAGTTTGATCTCATATACGAGCATTTAATCTCTATATCGATGAATCGAAAGTCATTGGTCATGCATTACGAGATTTTTCGCAATTATTCATTTATTTGTCATATTAGTCAAGAAAATGTACATTTCAAATATCATTAGATTAGCTACACAATTACTTATGAAGATAATTAAATCGTTATCAGAAAAATTTTCATTAGACAACTAAATGTTACTCAATTACCCAAAGTTGAGAGGAAACATTTTCCCGTCCCCCCCCCCTATTTTTCCCACCCTATTTCTTTTTATCAAGTAATATTTTATATCTACTTACCAGTGGATATGTGATACACACATATTAGTAGTTAAACCTACAATGCACATGACCCTCTTCCCGCACACATATATTTAAAATAGTCAATAAAATTACTTGAAAATTCTAATATTACAAAAATAGTTTCATGCAAGCATGCATATACACACAATTGCACTAAATAATCAATGAAGTTTCTTTTACTTCTATAAAGGATAAAGGATAATCTATAGTCTAAATACACAAGTATGTTTACAAAACAAATACGTGCACAAAGAATGTAAATTAATCAATAGAATAGTTGCCCAGATTTTACATAGTACTAATATCGCAAAATAATTAGAAATATACAAGAATTTAACTGTAGAAGAGAATGACTTTAAAGTTAAATCAAGGAATATTATTGATATTGACAAAGATAGATGTAAAGGGTGGATGGACGTACTAAAATGATTACGTGTTTATTAGGAGTTGTAAAAATAAGTGTCTAATTGACAGGAGTATTTTAGCAACAATGAATTTGACTGTATGGAATGTAAAACAGGTTCTGAATCGTGAAAACAGAAAGTTTATACACAGTTACAGGTGAGCCTTAACAATTAGTTGTAGCAAACAAGAAACCCTGGCCTGAGACTCACAGTCGAATAACTTTTTAAAAATCCATAAACTTTCATTTGGCAAACGAATCTATTGAATTCCAGTTAAAGTTTATTTATGTCTCAAATAAACCAAATGTGTTTTACTACATGGGTGTCTTTACTTGAATGGGGCAGGTATCATCACTTAATTGCTGACGATGGTCAGTAAAGACTCTAGGACGAAATTTTGAGAAAACGGCTCATAGCGATATAGAAACAGAAAAACTTTACTTTCTATCAACCTAAATCTCCATGATTTGGATCTTTTATAGGTTTGTGGTACGATGAACAAACTTTCTACAAAATCATAATTCAAAAATTCATAAATGTGAATATAGGTTATCTTTGTAAGAAGTACTGAAGTAGTGAAATGGAGTTTCACTTGATAATTTTGCTTTATAGCGTATTGCACAAATGATCAAGGCTTTCACATAAGATCAGCGCTTTTAGTTCCATACTGACAACTGATTTATGTCTGGGGTGTTGAGATAGAATCCAGCATTAATGTTTTCCGTCACTTTATCTTTATTATCAAAGCGGATTTTCTTAGGCAGTTTAAAACTAATAACTATATAACTATAATATATAAATGCTCTTAACAAGTATATGTGTGACCAGATTGTTCGAAATGTATTGGGCTAATATATCACATAGTTCTGATAATCTTCGTCTTCTAATATCATTATCGTAATAACTTGTCATTGAAGAATCTTTCATCAACTTATTTCTCCTGAGAACTATATTATGTGATACCACACTACGTAGTGTATTATATTTTATCAGTAAACTATAAGTGGAAACTGAAGGTAACGTGAAATGATTTAATTACTTTATGTAGTACTGTTTTTTTTTTCTTTTACAAACAGAAACAACCTATAATAAAACTGAGGATGCGAGGGTTCGCATCTATTCTAGTTACCAGTAAGGCCGATTTCATGATTCGTCCTCAATAAGTTCAAATATAAATTCATAAAACCGGTCTGTCGTATCCTAAACATCTCGGCGACAACAGAGCCGATTGCAGCTTTAATATATCAGCCAGGTATATGAAACCCTAGTGCTCCAAGAAGCATGAAACTTAAATTCACCAATTCATCTTCATTTGTAAATTTGATAAAAATAAAAACGGTCAACATCGCTTAACTAAACTCTCGTCAATCGTCTACAGCTTTACGTATTTAATCATTACACAATGACAGATATATGAATTGTTGTTAAATATGTATTCAAAGTGTCAGTTGAGTGACAGAAATTCAAAAAGATGAAACAAACTATTTCTCCTATTCTTGAATCATACAAGGGAAGATGTGCATTGTTTTGCTGGTTAAAGCCAGTTGATAGAAAGTTATGAATGCGTTTTTCGGATTTTTTTTGTGTGCAGCCATTTACTAAAGTGAGCTTACTGAATTAGACCAATAGAACTGATTTTCAGCAAATATGTGATGCTTATGAGAATATCGATACTGATCAAATGATCTAATGGATAGACTGAAAACGAAATAACGCATGAAATGTTAAACTCCAGTAAACTATGTTTAATAGATTTCCCTCAGTCAAAACAAGCACCAAGTTAAACGATCTTATTGACTTAGGAAAATTACTACTTACCTACTTACGCCTGTTACCCCTCGTGGAGGGGCATAGGCCTCCCATCAGCAAGAAATTTACTAACTTTGAGTTTAATGATGGATTGAATTTTATGGATAATAGGCCTAAAATATAATCATAGAATGCATTCGCTATATTCTCGAAATACCAATACAACTCAGTCTTACACATTAGTTACTCACAATCAGTATCTGGGCAAAGTTGCTATACTACATCTGACCAACCAGATTAAGTTCACAAAATGGAGTACTGAGTAAATAGGATCAGTGGTATGTTAGTGATAATGAGTAAGACCGAGCATTGAGAATATGATTTAAAAAGTCATAAGAAAAGGTATATATGAAAGAAAACCAGAGCTCAAGATCTAGGGTGGGATAAAGAGTGAATGCACCTATCTTTTACTCAGCATCTTGAACCACTATTTGCACAGATACAATCTCCATTTACCTGATGGCCTCAGACCAGTAGTCAATGACTTCATGGATCGATATCAAGTCTTGGCTTGGCCGCCCCTCCCCGACTCCTACCCAACTTACTCCTATACAAGCTTACATAGCTGTTCGAGGTAGATTAAGGTTAGTCATACGTAACACATATGGCAACCACCTTGGTTCATAAAGACACGACAGAACACAATTATATATATATATTAAAATAGACTAATTGCTAAGATAGATTGAAAATAAAATAAATTACCAGATTAGCATGCTACATGCGACAAACAAATGAGAACAACTTTTTTCTTTTCCTTTTTTTCCGCTTTATTTTACATATTATTTTCTAATACAATAAATGGAAAAATACATGTAGTAAATGAAGAACGTTTGAGAAATTGTAAAAGCAACTACAATGCTGTTTATTTCATCGTTATCAGTTAATCACAGTTATCAGAAAGTTCTTTAATTAAATTATTTAAAATTATTTAATTCATGATTCCATAAATTATCAAACATTCAAATCATTATCACTGAACAAGTTAGTGTCTATCTGAACTCAGCAGCCTCGTAAATGTTTGGTTCGAGTTGGAATTAAACAGAAATTGATCAAAATCTAAACATAAACACGTGGATCAAAGTACATTCAGTTGACAAATCCCAAATAAGAATAATTCCGCATCCTGGATCCCGCTGCTAGCCACAAAACATTTGTTCTAAAAGAGCTATCAGAAATTAATTTTCAAGTGATACATTTCTAGTATAAATTTTAAATTGTAATACAAAAGTCTCTTGTTGTAAGCAGAAATTTAATCCATAAATGGGTCTTATGAAAACCGATAGTACATACAAATCGAGAGAAAAAAGAACTAATTAATATTTAATATTCACCAGAGAAAGAACTAAACAAGCTTGTAGAAACAAGACAAAAAGAGCAATTCAACAATCAACCAACGCCTTGAGGTAACAATCAGTACTACAGAAGTTCACTTTTTTATGTTTTTTATATCAAACTAAGTGTTGGGTATTATGATATATAATAAATCACTTAGTAGTGGAGACAAATCAAGTCCCAATGGTTCTATTTTGCACTTCGATTAGATTAATAGTGTACAAATTATGTGAGATCCCCGAATACACATTTGATCTTAACAAAAAGTGGTAAGTGGTTTTTGATTGCCATGACTTATTCGTCTAAAGGTAGGAAAGTAGACGACTAATTGTCAGGATGATACTTTTCACTTCGTATTGTTTATATTCAAGAGTTAACCAAAGTGAATGATAAACGGTTCGTCATTTCAATGCTGTTCAAAACACTTATGATTTACGTTCACAATTTTTGTAAAGCATACAAGTCAATAAAAATTATAATGGAAAAAATAACCTAAACTTTTCTGCTTTAAATTGCATGCACATGAACTTCGATCTTCAGTTTAAGTGCGTACAATCTTAAATGTCCATATATTATGTTAAAGGATTCGGTCTTTTGCTTCATTATGTTAGTATGTTCTTGTGGTTTTATTGCTTGTTCTTCAAGTTTGATACCTATCTACGCATCATTTTTGGACAGTTCTGGCAAGAAACCATTTTGTACAAACTAAAACAAGAGAATATTAACTTCAAACTATTGAATATAAAGCACTTGATTACAATAAATGTTCAAAGAAACATGTCCGTGGAAAGCTAACAAAAGTACTAAATGACAACAGAAATGTGTTAGCGGAGCACTTTACACTAAAAGTTGATGAAAATGTAAAATTAGAACAATTTAATGCAGAGTTTGAAAGGATAATTTTTAGTAATTCAGTCTAAAACTCAGTATAAAAAAGTCTCATTATTCATAGACCAAACTGAAAATCAGTTTGTTCTATCAAAGGAAATATGAACATTACAACAATCAATAGGTGATTCTTATGTTAAACTTAGTCTCACCTCTTATATTGCGGTTGTTGATATTACCTGACAACACAAACAAAATCAAACCGAATAAACAGAACCCATGGCTTAGAAATTTAAAGTCAATAACTTAACAAAACATCTTTTAAACCCAGGAGTCAAATACGGACTTATATCGCAAATTACGCGACATATTTACCACCAGTTTGAGGACCGAACATAATGACCAACCACCAAGACTTCAACAAACAGAAGTGATGTAGTGCAGCTGCGTAATTTAGCAAATCAAAGTTCTGAATCACTCAGTATATGAAATAAAAATATGTATTCGTTCAGAATATATTTAAAATATACTGGTTACTAAAAGGTTAACACAAAAAGTACCGCTATTGATATGGATGGGTAAAATAAATAAAATAAAATATACATAAAACTATAATATGATTTCAAAAAATCAATACTAAATGGTTTTTGCACTTGATTTAGTTAAAAATATTTATAAGGCAGGGTATTAGATAACCCCAGTCGTATTCTATCTCAAACTATTACAGAATACTTAAAATACACAATTGAGGTTTTTGATCTACATAAAATATGACAAATGTAAATCACAAAAAATACACAATTTAGATTTGTTTCTTTTAAGGAGAAAATTAATTAACGGTAGTCTTCATTAAAATCAAAAACATTTCATTAACGCTGCCTTAAACAATACGGTAAAGTATAATGATTGTTTGCCAGTAAACCTCTAGGGTGCTCCTTCAAATCCTAATTGGAGTGACCTAGGAATGTTAGGTGATGAATCAGTGATTAAGACTTTCGACACTCAGCCACTAAATATCTTACTCAAGCTCCGCTCTATCTAATTTCACTTGGGGAACTAGAAAGCGCCATTAGTTCTTACATCTAGAGAGCGGATTGAGGTAAATTACACGAATCTGGAACTGATTGGTTATTTAAATCTCATAATTTTAGAGACAGATATTATCAATAAGGAAGCTTAAAACAGATGTGTGTTGGCCTAAGTTTTGATTATACATTAACAAGACGAAATTAAAATAAAGAACAAAACAAATAATTTGGTAAAAGTTATAACCACCCTCACTTCTTAATCAATACCCAAGTAGCGATGATAAAAAAGAACGAACACTGAGAACGTAGTTTTAAAAGATAAAGTGGGAAGTCTCTAACAACTGATTTCGGTTATCACAATAACTCTAACCGAACAGTTTGCATCTGTCAACATGGCTCAGACCAGTAGTCAGTGACTTCAGAGATAGATGTCACTTTTTGGTTCGGCTGTCTCTAACTATCTTCCAACCTACTTCTATACTGTCAGTCATTGCTCATTAGTGCGTAAAACAAATTTTGTATCTTCACAATACACAGTGTCAGTATTATTGTTTTTATGGTAAATGGAGAACATTCTCAAGCATAAGATGCTACATGCCAAGCCCGAAGTTGTTTTATTATTTTACTAGAATTTGGCTTTGAACTTCTTCAGAGAGCTTGTAAAACCCGAGCACATTCATTACACGACGAGAATAAAGTTTTGCAATATAGCTATGCGATTAATTCAAGATACAAGATAACCTCTTTTTACCACATTTTTAAGAAATAATAAGCAAGCGAACAATCTGGTTTTCAAAAGATTACTGTGATCATATAGCTGCACAGTTATTTATCTCTTTAATTCTTATAAAATCTAGTAAAATTAGGCACCATCTACAGTTGATAGGAGTGAATGGATATTCACGGCGGCTATTTTTCATGTGTCTGAGTGTAAAGCAATGTATTTCAAAGATCCGACAAATTTTGTTTATATAAACCATGTTGTAGATTATGGAACCAAAGGTAAATGATGGTATTGCAGGTTTAATATTCATAAATTTTTCTATAAAGCGTGTTTTGAAGATAACTCATTTTGGTTATGTATTGACGAGTAAATTGTTATGTATAGCATTGTTAGAAGTACTGCACTAAGAGCCGTTGATTTTAGTGAGCTGCATTGTGCCAAGGTATGCCAACAGGTATTGGTGTCGTTCTGAATTTTATCGTACAGGTTAAGTGCGCAAGCTAATTTAAAAGCATTGTCAACAACTTCTATTCCGGATCAAATATATTGTTTAACCCAGGAATACATTGCATTTTTCCTCAGCTAAGGTTGATCACGAATTTTTAAATGTGATGTACTTGTAGAATAATATACTTGTACTCAATACGTCATTACCAGACTTCCAGGTATAAACCACATTTTTATTCTAACTTAGGTGTGTAATAAACATTGAATAAAACTGACCAGAAAATAGAGAATAGAAATAGATGATGTCCTCCCTCCGCCATATTTTGTTCTCCCATTTTAACCTTTATTCTAACCAAAAAGATAGATACGTGATAAAATTATATCTGTTTGCACTGGAAAAAAGTGCACTTATTTAAACTAAATATATCTCGATCACCGAATAACTGTCTACTTCACTAGTACTAGGATATTTGATTGCTTCCACTACCCTCACTAGACGCCACTGAGACGTATGAACCACTTTTTTAGTTCCAAATGCCGAGCCAAGAAGAGTTAATATTATCTAACCACGGAAATATTAAATATAATACGTGTCAAACAGACAAATTCCAAAGATCTTAAAACGGAAAATTAAAGAGTGCAGTTCAGTTGAACATACCGTGTTGGCTGTCTTAAGTAACACATTTTGAAAATGGACAAGTATCCGAAGTATTTTCACAAAGCTACGAAAACAGAATACATGTTTGAATTTGACACGTCGTGGAATCGTTAGTTCCAATATCCAATATTGTATACACAAGCGAGTGAAAACCTGTTGTTCTCCTCAAGTTCACTTCTTGGCATATTGGTAATGTTCAAAATATCTGAGGGCGTCAAATATACGCATTCTAGTCAACTGAATGCACCAGTCATCCATGTGACAGTCGATTTTGATTATAAGAGAATATATTTGTACCTCAGGAGTTAGGTTGTTAGGATCAGCATCTATCACATTACCACTCGAATAGATGGTTGGAAAAAATTAAGAATCCTGTATTTGAATGCACAGTCGAGGGACGAAAATTGTTTGGGTTAGAGAAATAGTTCGGTCGGATAAAGTTGCAGTGGTAAATAAATCATCGAAATAAAAAGTTCTGTAATTTTTCAATATTCATGCTCACCTCATTAGTTTTATTGAACATACTATAACTGAAGGCTCTCGGTCACTCATCTGCACCAGATCATTAGTGGGTACGTTGTGCTAAGTATCCCTTGCAAATACTAGCCAGTTCACATCACACATTCCAAACACGTCGGTAACCTTAAAAATATATTTCTACACTCATTCACCCTTGACTTTTGAATTGACTGGATTGGTATTTTTCCATTATAAAGGTGTTGAATGTACTCTGAATGTTTCGCTCATCAATATGCTTTGTCATCATAATGATGGAAGTGACAATCAAACTTTTATAGTCTAGGATTCCTACGTCTTCCACTTTACGATTCATGATATTCTAGCCCAATAGTATAAAAGCCCTGTAGTTTCACAAGCTTCAAAACTTCCGACACGAACAACCTTCGAGGGAACTTCCTAATAAGCGCGCGTTAACGGCAACCACAACCGGTGTACATAGCCGTCTATTATACGATATGATATGATAACGAAGGTTCATTTTCGCCGATGCTGACGCAGAATCAAGCGTTCTTCCCACAAAATCTAACGACCTTATGTATGAAACGGTCTTCAGCTTACAAGCCACGAATTGAAAGCTGATAGCTACTTACGATAATAGATATGTTTATCTTAACGTGAGTTTACACAAATCCACATGCTGAATTTACCTCGTCACAGATGCTTCTATACCGACCATTGGTATGAACCAGCTACAACATCATAATCTATTCATTGACTGGAGTAGATGGGGGTTGGTAGATGAAAATATGAAATCGTCTATTTATGGAACTTCAGTTTCTGATAGAAGGTTATGCCCAATCACGGGTAAGCATATGATCGTTTCGAACTTCCAACGGCTACTCGAATAATGTTTCAGCCTGTGTCAAAATTACACTGTGCAACCAATAATGTTATAAACCACATCGAGACAACAGGACCACCTGTGCTTTCGAAATCGCCCCAACCAGCTAAGATAATTCAAAACGGATCCGAGCAAATATTCCGGAATTCAGCAAAGCAGGTTCACGCTCGGAGATGTACCATGAAAGAGCTCTGTTTGTGCAGCTGGTATAATCTGATACATACGAGCAAAAAAAACTGAAGGATAAACACTGATGTGCCTCAAAGCTATGGCTGTTCCTCCCCACAATTATGAATCAACTGTCTACTGGAGATGATACGAAGTTGAACCAAACGACGTGTTCTCGTATATCTCGAAAGTCTATCTTTCAGACTTTTTGCCACAGCATCTCTCTTCAAATGAATGTTTATAATGAGGGTCTTCTATAGTACTATAGACACTCTTTCCCGTCGCTGTTTTGTCTTCAGACTTCCTTTCATGGATCTAGGTATATACCCACTGTCGATCTGTATCCGCCATAGTTAATCAAGTTTATTGTAAATCGGAACAACAGTGTGGACGCATCTGGCTTTTCTGACCATTCAAGGTTGGCTTTACAAATATCGATCTTTGTGAAGAAGTACCAATTATCTTTTCTGATGAACGCTCGAGAAGTGGAATTTTTAGTCTGTTTCTAATTTCATAGTGAACTTAATTAAGTGACGACAAATACTGAACGTTTTTGGTTAAGTCTTGTTCTCTTAGTTGCATGGTTTTTTCGTGGACCTTTCATCGTTATTGCGAACATCATTAGCACAATGTTCTACCACGACCAAACCATCCAGCTCAAAGAACAAAGTTCTACAAAGATCATACTTTTGAGGTGCAAATCTTCTCCACCATCTCATATAAAGGACGTGTCCAATGTTTGTTTAAATCGATATCTTTGTCATGAGTAATGAAAGCATCATTTAAACACCTCTTGTATAGACGAGAACTATGTATTGTTGGTTAAATTTAAATCTGAAATTTAAATGCATTTATGAAGTCATTCCTTCGGATATTGCATTGAAAAGTCAATATTAAGTTATTTGTTTTCAGTATAGTCACATATTTGGCAGATTGTTCCAGGGTTAGGTATATTTTTAGAGACGACAGCATATCACTGAATTTTAAACGATGGATAAAAAATTAGGAGAGCCAAACTTAGTCAATTCTAGAACACTCAGAACTCCATGGCTCAATCGCTCAGGTGTGGCGATTGTAGACCTTTCTTCTTTGTATTAAACTTATTGTCTTATTAACGCTGTGAATGTGTACTTTAAGCATTTCTACACACAGCGCATAAAGTGAGTCAGTATGGGCAGCGATGCGACTATGACGTAAGATTTCATAGGATAGTTGGTTACATCGTAGTGCCAACCAAATTATATTAGGACTATTCGTCTAGTGTCATTGACAAATGCGCTATTACCAATCCTAGAGATAGTCTCTGCATATTTGGTTCATTCACCTTCCCATTTATATATGTACTCAAATCTTATTATTAGTACTTGCTGTGTCCCGCATTTGACAACAAAGCAAACTATGTTTCTGTTGCTTGCTGCTCTTGACGAGATGAACACTCCATCTTGTAACCGGAAAACATTATTCAACAAGATATTGTGTGGAGAACTACTAAATTACATTGGGTAATACTTATGCCTGCTTGTAGATTTTATATCAGTTGACGAACAATTTAATTAGCGTGGGACATTGAAATAACTCTAGTGTATTTGAAAATACCCTATTTTTAATCTATGATGTACATGGGCTGCAGGCTGATAAGCGAAAAACATGATTCAAACCTACTTTGGTTAGAAACTACCGTATGATTGCTTGTCTTGACACTACCCAATAATTTTCGTTTGAAGGTTTGACGAACAGTGTTGTCATAAGACCAAAAGTCTTACGTCATCAGGGAAAATTCATTTCTTAAACAAAAACCGAAATTTTGAGCAAGCTGTTCGCTAATCATTAGCTGTTCGAAGTATCACAATTACTTTAATTGTCATTTATTGGATAAAATAACTTTATCATTTTGATCGCCGTGTCTTTTGATCTTTTGTCAATAACTACGTTTTTCACACAAGTGAGTTCAAAAGCAAGATATTATTTACGAATCAATAAATAATCCCTACTTATTTGTCACCATGAAGAAACTTTAACAATATACGGACGTTTTGAATGCTGATTTCTGACACTGGTATTCGTTATCTCCATAATAAAAATGAATGTGTTCCCATCTGTGAAGTTCAGAGAAATGCTCAACTAGTATCTCTTAATGTGAATTTTGGCATGATTTTGAGAGTGGTTTACTTGATTTCAAAATAAGTATGCTTTCTCACCTAGCCTGTTATTCCTCGTGAAGGAATCACAGGCCGCCCACCAGCATTCGCCATCCAACCCTGTCCAAAGCAATCCTTTCCAGCTCCTTTCAGTTGTAATTCACCTTTTTCATATCTGCTTCTATTATCCAATGCAATGTGTTCTTTGGTTTTCCTCTTGTTCGCTTCCTTTCAGGATTCCAAGTTAGGGCTTGCTTCGTGATGCAGTTTGACGATTTGCGTAAAGTATGTCCTATCCATTTCCGTCGTATTTTCCTAATTTCCTCTTCAGATGGAAGCTGGTTTGTTCTCTCCCACAAAAGGCTGTTGCTGATTGTATCCGGCTAGTGGACGTTGAGTATCTTGCGAAGATATTTATAAATACTTGTACCCTCTTGATGGTGGTTATTGTAGTTCTCCAAGATTGAGCTCCATACAGTAGAACTGTCTTGACGTTGGTATTGAAGAATGTGACTTTGATATTGGTTGAAAGTCGTTTTGATTTCCATATGTTCTTCGAATGTAGGAATGCCGCCCATGTTTAGACATTCCTCGCCTTTACGTCTGCATCTGAACCTCCCTGTTAATCGATGATACTTCTCAGGTATGTGAAGGATTCTACATCTTCCAGAGCTTCGCCATCAAGATTTATTGAATTGCTGTTTTCCACTTTGAATTTGAGGACTTTGGTTTTCCCTTTGTGTATACTGAGGCCTACTGATGCAGAGACTGCTGCTACACTGGCTGTCTTTGTCTGGATCTGTTTGTGTGTACTGGATAGGAGTGCTAGGTCATCTGCAAAGTCCAAATCGTCTAATTGATTTAGAGCTGTCCACTGTATTCCGTACTTTCCTTCAGATGTCGAGGTCTACATAATCCTGTCGATCACCAGAAGAAAGAGGAAGGGAGAGAGTAAACAGCCTTGTCTGACTCCGGTCCTTGCTTGGAATGCATCTGTCAGCTGTCCTCCATGCACGACTTTGCATTGTAGTCCGTCACATAAGTTCCGGATATTGTTGACAGTCTTCTCAGGAACTCCGTAGTGTTGTAGATGTTTCCATAAGGTCTTCCTATCCACACTGTCAAATGCCTTTTCATAATCAATGAAGTTGATGTATAGTGATGAGTTCCACTCAACTGATTGTTCGACGATGATCCGTAGTGTTGCAATTTGGTCTGTGCACGACCGATCCTTACGGAATCCAGCTTGTTGATCTCGAAGTTGGGCGTCTACTGCATCTTTCCTCCGGTTCAGCAACACTCTGTTGAAGACCTTCCCTGGTATTGACAGCAGTGCAATGTCTCTATAGTTTTCACATTT